CCCCCCGGGCAGCCCCTCCCCTCGCGCTGCGGTGTCCCAGCCGTCACTCCAACGGCGCGCGGCTGGGCGAGGGGCGGGGCGAGGGGCGGGGCGAGGGGCGAGAGGCGGGCACGAGCTCCTCCCCCCGCCCGCGCGGGAAGCGGAAGCGGCGGCGGCGGAAGGCGGGCGGCCTTTTCCGGAGCGGGCGGCGTGCTCGGCGCGGCCCGGGCGCCGCCATGAGCGTGCCGGCCTTCATCGACATCACCGAGGAGGACCAGGTCGGCGGCGGGGGCGCGGGGGCGCGGCGGGGCCTTGGCGGGGCGTTACCGGGGCGTTACCGGGGCCTTAGCGGTGTCGCTGCCGCAGGCGGCGGAGCTGCGGGCCTACCTGAAGGGCAAGGGCGCGGAGGTGTCGGAGGAGAACGCGGAGGGCGGCCTGCACGTGGACCTGCGCGACATCATCGAGGCGTGCGACGTGTGCCTCCGGGAGGACGACAAAGGTGGGCCCCGCGCCGGGAGCGGTGCGTAAAGCTGGGCCGCGCTCCCCGTGGCGGCGCGGSAGGGGCGCGTAAACCGCGCTTCCTCAAGAAACTCCCTATAAAGCAAGATTCCGTGGGCCGYGCCTGCCCGCGGGCAGCAACGAGGGCGGCCCGTGTGCGCCGGCACCTTCGGGGACCGCTCTGTTGGAAAACGATGGAATTTTCGGTAGGCGGTAGCCGCTTTGGGAATTGATAGGTCGCTAGAAACTACGTTAATGTGTTTCGATGATTACTAATACAGTAATCAGCCTTAGCTGATCTGTATGTGCCCCCGACCCCAGTTCTGTTTCGTTGTAAAGATTCACTTGGAAGTTTTATGCGCAAAAGAAATAACTCGTAGGAATAATATATATTGTTTGAAAGAGTGCAAGGTTCATCTGAGGATGGACATAACTTCTTGATTTGCCTCTTAMCMAAAAAAAAAAAGCCCAAAATAGAAGCATAGTAGCAAAGCTTATTGCAATGCTGCGTGATGCTCATAATTATATGTGTTTTTGTGTCATTGAGACATTACATATGTATAAGCATGCGTAGCGGAAGGGATTTTCAGCATTAAATAGTGATGATTGCTGCTTGCAATTTTAACAGCTGCGTGTTTTATTTGCACAGATGTYGAGAGTGTAATGAACAGTGTAGTCTCCTTGCTGCTTATCCTGGAGCCTGAGAAACAAGAAAGTCTAATTGAAAACCTGTGTGAGAAGTTGGTAAAATTTCGGGAAGGAGAGCGCCCYTCTCTCAGACTGCAGCTGTAAGTATTGTAACGTGGAAAAAGTAAGGCCAAAGGTATTGTGTGAAATAGCTCTTCCTTCCTTGCTTTAAGGAGGTTTTTGTTAAAAAAWATATATATATTTTTTCCCCATCATCAACTAGAAGTATCAGTATTCTTTCTTTGCTCAGATGCTATCAGCTTAAAAAGCCTAGTTTCCAGTTTCTCAGCTGCTGTGAAACTGGAARCTGTTCCAGTTCATCCTGGACTCCAGACGGCACTAATGAAGGTGCCCCGTGCGTGCTGGCACACTTCCTATGGAAATACTTGTTTGCGCGCGCTCCGGGACGGTTTTGCTGGCCTCCTTCCCTTAGTTGTTGCTTGTTTGTGGCTTAGGCTGAGCAATCTCTTCCACGGAATGGATAAGAACACTCCGGTGAGGTACACGGTGTACTGCAGCCTCCTGAAAGTGGCCTCCTCGTGCGGCGCCATCCAGTACATTCCAACGGAGCTGGACCAGGTAGCGCCCGGCGCTGCGCGTGCCGGGATGCGCCTCGCACCTCGCTCGGCGTCGGGCAGAGCCGATACAGGCTGTCCCTCCCTGGTGTAAACTGCCTAGAGAAGCAAACGGAAACRAAAACACAGAATGCAAAACTGCTTCTGTTGTAAAGGGCTTTCTACAGAATCTAARTGAAACTGCTGCTTATTTTCTCTCTCTAATGCTGAGCAAAAATTGAGATGTATCCGTTTGATTCACGTGATAGTAGCAAAAGGGAGAATCAGGAATGGGAGCATTGGAATCAGAAGTAATTGATCAGGATTTGGGGGGGGGGGGCATCAAGCTTTTTGCCTCTTATTTTGGAATCAGAGTGGATGGACTATCCGTCCTTACTTAGGAAGTGCATGGAGAGCACCAAGGTTTAGATTTTTTCTCTTTTTTCTGCCTGAGCAAAAATGAGAAATACTTCAGTTTTTATTTTACCTTTTTCCTAATGCTTCTTTTTCACTGACATTCTACACAGGTCCGAAAGTGGATTTCTGATTGGAATCTCAGCACAGAGAAGAAGCATACACTTCTGAGATTGCTGTATGATGTCCTAGTGGACTGCAAAAAGAGGTAAACAAAGACAATTAGAATATATCTAGAGTTATGTGTATTGTAAGTAATTTGTGGAGGAAACAAGCCCTTTCTATGCTTTTAATTCCACCCAAATGTGCCCGCATTTTCTTCTTAAGTTTAACCAGTGTGTCCAAGAATATTAAAGTTATTGGTGATTTTTTGAGAGCCTTTAGCTTCTAACAAAACTATTCCTTTCTGTAAATATTAACCTTCAAGCATTGTAGCATTAAGCCAAGTTTATTATTCAATSGCTCTTTTGACATTTTAGTGCAAGGTAGTGCTATCTCTTACTTACTGATGTTGGGGAGGCTTATCAATCACAGTTAATAGCATCAGTCGTTTAATATAAACACTACTGCTAAGACAAAGCGTTCCACTAATCGCGAAAATTAATGTCTGTGGCGTACCTGCTTAGCCATTTAAAAGTATTATCGTGGATCATAAGAGGTATCTTTGATCTAGCAAAGTTGTCGGACCAGTCTTCTGGCATGTAAAGTGCTCCTGTAGCCGATGTGCTGTAAATTAGTGCAAGTTTTAAGTGAGAGCTCGGGTCAGTGTTTCTTACGAGTGCGCTGGCCGGGGCTGCCGAGGCGGGCTGGGGTCCAGCAGCTTTCACGGACGCCTCCCTCTGCCCGAGTTGTTACTGCTGCAGTTTGCTCTGCCAGCGCCTCACTGCCCCTTCCCTTCTCCCTGCTTTCGGAGCCCCTTTCCAAGCAAGGGGCGTGGGCTCCCTCTCCGGGGAGGAGAGGGGCTCTGCGCTGCCGGCGGAGCCGCTCTCGCGGCCGCAGCTTCACACTCCTGCGCTCTGCCCTGTTTCCCCAGCCCGTCCCCTCCAGCCGCCTCCTGTCCCCACGACAGCTCCGGCTGACCTGGCTTTAAAAAAATAAATGGGATAAACGGAGGGAGTTGAGGGCAGGGGCAAGTGTGGAGGTGTCGTGGTAGCAGGGGAGTTTCTTCTGGCAGGAGAGCTGGTTTCACTGGGCCAGAATGAGCTGTACCCTGGAAACGCTGTGTCAGCTAAGCAGGATCATTTTTAACTCGTCACAACTTTGGGATGATTAATCCTGCTGCAGTAATAAAGAGTAGCTACGCTGAGCTACATGACTTGAAATTATTATTTCTGTTGCTAACATTAAAATGCTTTTGCAATGATAGTACGCTGGGACAGCGTTTGGGTGGTCACAGTCCTTCCAGGAATCTTGCACATACTGCAGCRCTGATTTGGTTTCAGAAATATTACTCGTACACAGTAATGCTTCTGCTCTTTAAGCACTTCTCAACCTGGTGATTTCTTGAGAGCTTTCAGTTAGCTGAATTTCCACAGTTAACAAGACCAGCTAAAGAAACAGCTATTACCARGTCCATGGATTAAACTTAGTTTTTGTTACTGGTGTGATCCTGGATTCTTTGCTACTAAGCTCACTTAGCAGTTGGTCTTCAGAGTTSGAAGAAAAAAATGCTTTTACTTAAAAAATAACAGGTGAAGTTTTTATGTCAGGCATTAAAAACGTTCACAAACTCTGTAAATATTAGTCGTGCACTTACCATCTGTTGCAGCAAGCTCTTCAGCAAGGGGAGCAATTTTTCAGAGCTCCTACCCTCCTGCACAGGAAAGAAAACAAGGGATGGCCCTAGCACTTCTGACCTGGCTCACTCTCCTGGATCAGTGGGCACTGTTTGCAATAGCATGGGAAAGGCACAGCAGCATTCCAGCTTTAGCACTCAGCAACTTGTAACCCAGGGAAAAGATGAAAGCTAAATAATAAAAATCATACATCAGTTACTATGTCTATTTGCAATCAAGGAAAAAGAATATGCTGTGTAAAGGAATCTGTTTTCTTTGGTGTTCCAACTTCACTCTTTGGCAGAAGAGATTTTGCTTTGCAGAGGTAACAGACTTCCCCAACACATAACTTGGCAGTGATCAGGTTGGTAGCTCATGGGCAAAATAATTTTTCATTTACTTTTGATTTCATTTAGTGCAGAGGGCCTTGATTGCAACATCTTAAGTCTTTGATAACAAGTTGACATACATTACTGCTTTAAGCAGCCTCATTTATAATGGTAGCCTGATACTGAATAGAATTAATAAGATGAAAAAGCCTGTCTCATTTTTGAGGCTCACGAAATTGGTCTAAGAAAGTTTGAGGGTACTTCTTTTGTAGCATTTTGAGTTTTCCTAGAAATACAAATGAAAGTTCCCCCTTTTTCCTCCCCCCCCTTTTAAAGAAAAGGGGGGTTGGTTTACAGATATTGTTTAAAATGAGTGAAATGCATAGTATTTAATTCTCCTTCCTAGGAAGCAGAGGAGGGGACAGAGGGAGGAGAAAGGTTCAGAAAACCTGAAACATCTTAAGAACAGCTACTGAAAGTTTGTATTAAACACATGTACCTCGTTAGGTTGAATGCCACAGCATCTGAGCCTGTTGATTTGAATGTTTAGATCCTGAATTAAACCTGTCCTTACTAGAACATCTAGAGTTGATAAGAGGTCACCAATACCAAAGACTTTATCTCAGGCTGATACACATACAAATAGCTCTTGCATGTATAAAGCTGTCTGCATTTGTTGTATTTTATTTTACCCATATAAAGATGATGCACTACAAAAACCATACTCACCTGTGCTGCTGTAGGTTAAACCCATACAGAGCAGAGAAGCTCCTGGAAAGGTTGTCTGATCTAGTTCCTTCCCTGTGCAATTTACACCTTTAATTTTGGTTAACTAACTTGACTCTGTTCTTATATGTTTCTTCCATTTAAGGAAAAGGGTTTGGTCTGTCAGATCACATGGGAAAACCTGCTTGTCTAGAATTGAGTTCCTCTGAAGGAGAGGTTTAATTCTTCTTTGTGACTCTTAGTGCTTTGGAGAGTCGTAGCCAGGCTTTGTGCATCCATCCCCTGGTACAGGGAAGCCCCTGGAGGAGGTGCCCAAACRTGGGGAAGTAGCTGCTGTTCTGTGCAGGCGGATGGGGAGCTTGCAGCAGAGCGTGGTCGTGCTCTCCTCACCCCCACGCACACACCTGGTGCAAAGCAAGGCTTAGGCAGGATCAGTAAGGACCAGGTRGACTTCGGAAAGATGATCCAGGATTGGCCAAACCCGGAGGCTGGGAATGTTCTCCGGGCCGCAGTGGGCTGTTCAGGAAACCTGATCTGTTAAAGAAGAAACTATTGGGAGAACTGTCACACTCTTGTATTTTAATAGGAAAATTTYCATGAGGAATGGGAAATGGATTTTTATACGTGTACATGCAGCATATTTAACGCACTTTTTTCTGAAAGTTTTATAAAAATACTGGCCTCGCTTGTTTCACTAGTAATGAGAACTATGTAAAAACAAGATTGGTTAAAAGGACTCGGCAGCTGAGAGCTGCTTTGCAGTGACATGGAGCAGCTGTTGTTAAAAACCCGTCGCTATGGGCAGGGCTGTAGACTTGCTCAGCCTGCTTTGCTAAGAACTGTCCCGAGCAGCCCTGCCGGTGCTGGGGGCCGCCTGCCTTACAGCCCAGCCCAAGCCCGTCTCATTCCCGGCTGCATAATTCCGTCAGGAAAGCGAGCGGCCTCCATTCCAAGTACTTGAGGGAGACCCCGCGAGGGAAGGAAAGGCAGCCTCTAGACCGTCACTTTTCTGACCATAAATATTCTTTAAGATATGCCATTTTGCATTTGAAATAAACTTTGCTGTGCTACTTATTCTGCAGTGATTAAATCCAGATGTGCATAAGAGTGGTGTTCTAGTGAACCGTATAAAGCTGTTTCTAGCCCAAAAGGCTTTTTTTTTTTTTTTTCTCCATAACCAGCAGGTAATTTATCAATTTAAGAGAATGAAATGAAGGGTGAAGATAAATAGAATTGAAAGAATACCTCTATCTAATTTGTTCTCTCTACTAGAATTAAAATGGATCATCTACAGCTTTTCAAGTATAATTTAATCTGACCTATAACAYTGTAAGGGGATTATTTAAATATTTGAGCGTCTTTTTCATGCTTTCTTTTTTCTTTTTTCCCCTCAATAATCCTGAGATAACTTTATTTTTCCTGTATAGTGACAGTGCAGCAAAAGTAATGGTGGAACTGTTGGGAAGCTACACAGAGGACAATGCTTCCCAGGCTCGAGTTGATGCTCACAGGTAATCTTGATTTCTTGAATTTCTTTAAAAATAGCTTTTGATGAGTTATGTACACCACCTTACCATCAAGCATTCTGTGCAGCCTGTCAGACCAGCTGTGTACAAACAAGTTTCCCCATGGTCTGTTCCTACTGCAACATGCTGGAGAATGGGGATGACTCATTTGGAAAATCAAAGTAGCAAGTCTCCGTGACTGCACTGCAGCCCCCTGGGGCTTTCCCACAAGTGGAAGCAAGTGTTTCCACGAGGCTTATCCATTGCCACGTCTCCAAGGGCTGTGTCAGCCCTGCTGCCCGGCGGAGCCGCGCGCAGGACCCTCCTGTGCCCTCGTGCAAGAGCTCTCATTCAGGCCGCCAACACGTGAGCTCTGTTTATAGTCTGCAGCTGTGACTGATAAATTGGAGGTCTTGCAGTTGTTTAGTACTGGGATTTTCTGTTTTGTGTCACATGTTCAAGGACAATTAATCTCTCTAAACGACTTAATTCAATGAAACTTCAGGAGAACAGTAAAAATACCTCGAGAAATGAAGGCTGGCCTGGAAATAAATGCATAGATTGAATGGGACCTCTGATCTGTAGTCCTACTACCTGGCAAATTTCATWAGTGATATTGGACAAAGTACTTACAGCTTTCTTGTGCCATTTTTTTTCCCATTTGTAAAACAAAGTTTAAAAATATTCATGCTGTGACACGCGTGATATTTAAGAATAGTTGAGAAGGCTTAGATACCTCCTAGAAAGCAGGGAATAACAAGGCAAGTTCTGTTTGCTCCTAAATAAGTATTTTCCTTTTCTAATTAGATGTATTGTTCGAGCGTTGAAGGATCCAAATACTTTTCTCTTTGATCATCTTCTTGCCTTAAAACCAGTCAAATTTTTGGAAGGAGAACTTATTCACGATGTAAGTAAATGACTTTGGCACAACGTAGAATGCGTTCTTTCTTTTTTGTTAGCGTCTTTTGAAAATCACTTGAATAGAATCTATGTTATTAATACTGGGCTACAATATATTTTTAATGCTTTCAGAATTAAAAATAACCAAAGCATTAAATGTAAAACTCAAGGTGAGTAGATAAGAGAATATTCCCCTTCCAAAGCTTAAGCAAACTTGAGTGAGAAGTCACACTTTCTTGTGCACTTAGACARAACTGCCTGGCAGGCCATGGAAAAAGAAGTAAGCTTGACACAGGTTGCCTTGGCCTAGTGACAGAAGACAGTTTTAACTGCTATTTGCTTTATTTCTCTCTTCCATACTAAAGTGTTCATACTAAAAATATACTACTTCCATACTGACGTGTATTTGTGCAAGAACTAAAATGTGCAAAATGTTTAAACTGTTCTTATATTTGAGATTTTTCCTCTTCTAGCTTTTGACAATTTTTGTAAGTGCTAAACTAGCATCCTATGTCAAGTTTTATCAGAACAATAAAGACTTCATTGACTCTCTTGGTAAGTTCTTAAATAATTACATTTCTGAGTTATTTACATGGCTTAAGATATGAAATCTCCACAGTTCTACTGTTTGAACCTGTATTTTGAACCCAAAGACGGAACAGGGTTTTTTTGGGGCAATTACAGAGTTTGGAGTTTACAAACTCTGAAGATGGTAGAAGGACCATCTAAGTTTTTGTTTGTTTGTGTTTTCCCTAGTGGGTCAAGGTGTTTTAGGGGGTTGGAAGAGCATTTATGYTTTTCTCTCATTCTTTTAGCTATACTCATTTTGGGGAATGTAACATGTTCATAACATATTCATGTGTTAGGCCAGATCCGAGACCACAACTTTATTGAGTAAGACAGCAGCTTGTATCAAGCTCCTTCTTTTTCCTTTTTTTTCTTCTTTTTAATGATTAATAAATTTGTAACAGCAGCTATTTCTCCTAAACAGGTAATCTCCTGAGATACTATTTTCTGAAGCATTTACTGTAACTTCATATGTGAGCAGACAGCTGCCACCAGACAACTGTGCCCTTATCTGTGTTTTTTTTTTTTTTTTTTTCCTCTAGTTTAGGTATAAGGCACTCTGAAAATCAAGTTATTGGGGAAGGTATATGGGATTTCAAGGAAGAACTACTGCGGCATATATCAAAGTGCCCACAGCTCTTTCTTTTTTGGCATCCCCAATTCAGCATCTCTATCTGGCAAGGTGCTGTGGCTGCCTCAGTCTTTAGCTGCCTAAATGCAGCCCACTCTGGTGGGTTGTGCACAGAGGGGCAGGAGCTCCGCCCAGGCCCCTCTCCGCTCACAGTATTTTTGTTTCCAGCAGATCAGGATTTTAATGAGCACTGATTTAATCCTAATGCAAAGAGGAGGAGATCCCTGTATTGCTAAAATGCTTAAAATTTGCTAAATACTTCTTTCACCGGGGCTGTAAAGCAGGAACATGAAGCGTGCATTTTGTGCATGTGTGTGAGGGCGAGTGCTGATGCGTGAGGGCCAGGGAGCCACATGCTGTCCCAGTTAATTTGTTTCATGGCATGGAGCAGTGTGATGGAATGTTAATGTCAGCACCCTCTTTATTTACACACTCTGGAAAAAAGGAGTAGTAATTAACACTTCGACACTCCCCCAGTGATGTGTAATTGACTGTTTCAAAGGAGCACTGGTTCATAAGCTATTGCATGCATTAAAATTGCGTTTTTTTATATTGCAGCTTTTTAGGACAGGGGTCAGTGACAATGCAGAAATTGCTCAATGATGCAGATTTTTTTATTACTGCATTAAGGCTTTGACATATTGGTAATGAATAAATGTTTCCATAAAGATCAGATTTTTATTTTTTTATAACTTTGATTTTGAAATGACACATGAACAGTAGCTGAAGACATGGTTTTATTAAAACAAAACAGGGTTCAGTGCAATGCTTTAACACATGCACCATTTTGTTTAATATAGGGGCATATAATTCTTAGAATAATTACCCTCAAAGCTAGCACTTCTAGTATTAAAATGGTGAAAATTTCAGTGTGACTTTTTGTGGATAAAATTAGAGCAAGGTTTCAGTAGTTTGTAAGTGTGTATAGAGGATAAATGTAGCTTTTGTCTTATTTGAAAAATTCTTCTATAGGCATAATTATGCTGTGTTTTATTAGAGGAAAATATTTCTTATTTTAGTTTGGTTTTTTTTTTTGCACTAAAGTAAAGTTTTGCACTAAAATCTTTTGCCAATACGTGTATTTGTTGTTTGTCAGTAAATGTAGTTATGCTTATGCTTGAATAAACGTATGGAATACCAATTATGCAAATAGATGGTATCCACCACATAGCATGCTTAGAATGAAGTCAACATTGTTCCCTCTTTGCCTTCCTGTACCTGGGCTTAGCCTAGTTAGTGTGCAGTATAGCTGCTTTCACTATAGCCAGCATATGCTGAAGCTTAGTAAAACCCTTAAGTACATATGTAATACTCTTTTAAAAGAGAGCCTTATTTCTAGTTATCTGCCTTGAGATGTACTCAGAAAATTCTARATGCCTTTGTGCAGTGGCCTAAGTAGAGATACTGAGGTATTCAGAAAATTCAGAATGCTATATTGCATTTTCTAAAATAAGTAACTTTTTTAACTACATGCTTTTTTGAATGACAATTTCTCGGAAAGTATCAACTTTTAAAATAATGGACCTTATAAATAGACTTCCAATCCCAGGACAGCATCAGCTTTAATTCTAAGCTCCTCTGGATGAGGACCAATGAAAAATCAGTCTTTAAAAGCTGTGCAGTAAAGGCTCCTACAGGTGGCATCRGTTTGTTACCATTTGTTGTTTTATTAATGCTGACAGTGTAGGCCAGCAGTAGCATTATCCATGTCAACTGAATCGCCCTAACATGTCCACATTTAATCTGGTACGATCAGCAGCCTTTTTCAGAAAGTTAATCAGCATCTCATTTGCATTTGTTAATTAGGGTTAATGTGTGCTAATTGATTTTTTTGATGCTTGTAGGTTTCCATTAAACCCAGTTAGGTATAGTTGCTGGTGCTCCTCATTCATATGAGTTATGATGATCACGTTTTCATTGAATCAGTGCCAAATAGAAAGCCTGCATCATAATTATGGCTAATTAAGACAACATGATGTCCTGCACTAATGTGCTTTCCTATTAGTGTATGGGCATTATAAATTTCAAACTTAAATATTTACGGAAGCAGTGTGAATATTCAGAATGTCATTCCAAAACAAAATGATGGGCATTCTTTTTAATGAAGTTTCCAGTGAGTCTTAGTGTGTACCTCTCAGAACTTGAGACATACTTTGGCTCTTCCAATGTCTTACTTTGTTCACCTTTTTTTTTTTTTTTTTTTTTAAAGGGAAAAGGTATGTGATGTGCAAGCCCTAGGTTGAGTTTCTCACATTGCCAAACATGCTATCCCGTATAAGAGCTAAGAGATAGGTTTTAATCTCCTCCACGCTGGTGTTCTGGAGCACTTTGTTGCCCCCCTGGCTGCTCTGGGGCTCTCTTGTGCTGTGACACAAACACTTTACTCAGTGTCACAGGCGGCTCTGCTTAGAAGGAGAAAGCCTCACGCAGCTGAAGATGTGTTGATACCCAACARCCTCACCACAATGACTGCTGAGTGAGGGAGTGTAAAGGCTCTGACATCATCAAAGCTTTTGTCTTCTTGATGATGTAATTGAGCAGGGAGAGGGGAAACAAAAAACAACACAGAAATCCCCCCCTACTTACCTCCTTCAGGAAGTGTTAGAGCTGCAAGTGATTGGAAACAACTGTTAAAATTGTTTTCTTTGGTTAAAATCTMTGGTCTTGAGTTTAACTTTTTTCCCCCATTTTTTAAAGCTACTTTCAAAACTTTCATTAATAACAWGTGTGTCTTGAAGTATTCACGAATAAACTATACATTTTAGCAAATCAAAAGGGAGCTGGAGGAATAAGAATGGTTTACCTCAAAAAAGTTAATAAAGCCACATGAACTATTTTCTTAATGTGAAATAGAATTGAAATCATTAAGATGTGCGCATACGCAGAAAAAATAYGGAAAACAGTTTGACTTACTGAGTTATAATTCATAAACTATCACCACTTTCACACAGGGTTGTTGCATGAACAGAATATGGCCAAAATGAGGCTACTTACATTCATGGGAATGGCTGTCGAAAACAAAGAAATATCATTTGACACAATGCAACAGGAACTTCAGATTGGTGCTGATGATGTGGAAGCATTTGTTATTGATGGTAAGAAGTGCACTAACATGCTTTGCATAATGCTGAAGAACCAAAACTTCTAGTCTTCTAAGCTTGTGCTAAATATTAAGAAAAAATCTTATTTGTATAGCTGTATTTCTTTTTAAGATACAGCTGTAAAACTTAGACACCCTCAACTGTTAACTTTTTAAGCAGCCTTTCAGTGAAAGGAACTATATTGCAAACAATCCTGTACCGAACAAGTAAGTTGTTTGCAAGTTTAATTTGTTGTCTGCTTTTGCTTGCTGTCATTAAAACAGGATGTATTTGTAGAGGAGAGGAGTTTGTAAAAACCGTACAGGAAATTGCTTTAATAGATTGGCATCAAACAGCAGCATTCCTGCATGACCTTTGTCTTGTTACACCACTTTACTTTTCTGCCTACTAAAGTGTTAAAGCCAGCAGCAAAACAACCCTAAGTGAATTACTGTTTTTCTTTATATTTGTAGTGATCAAAGTTTAAAGAGGTTTTATATATTTAATACCTACCCCAATCCTGAAAATACTGCACAAAATGCCTTTTTATTTTCTCTCCCAGCTGTAAAGACAAAGATGGTGTATTGCAAAATAGATCAGACACAGAGAAAAGTAGTTGTCAGGTAAGACTTAATTCTTCATAGCATTTTACACAACTTAGGATGTTCTAATTATTTCACATACATTTGTAGAATTATTTTAACTAGAACTAGAAGCAAGGTATTGTTCCTATCAGTTGCCTGTAGTTAAATAGTTGCTATTTATCATAATTTTATTAAAGCTCAGACTGGATGTGATTAACTTATTTAATGAAAGAGTCCTATTTTCCAGCACATTTCATTTAATGACCTAATAGTGACAAGAATACTAATGACTGCTATTGCTTTAAATATTTGGGAAGGCTGCAGAATTCTGCAACTGGTAAAATACAGCCACTGAAATGGAGAAAATTCCCCTATTATGCACAGTAATAAAATAATGCTCCAAAAGAATTCCTGGGTAAGCATTACACTTGGTAATCCTCTTCCTGTGTTTTTTTGTTGCTTTTTCTTACTTTTCTAGTCACAGCACACATCGGACTTTTGGAAAGCAGCAGTGGCAACAACTATATGACACTCTAAACACCTGGAAACAAAATTTGAATCAAGTGAAAAACAGTCTCCTCAGTCTCTCAGACACCTAAGAAAAGCATTTTTTTTCCACCTAGAGATGCTTAGGTTTATGTGAAATTTTTTCAARACTTTGGCAATTTGTGAATGTTTCCAAAATGTATGCAATTGGTTTAAGAAAATTAAATATTCTAACTTGAAACTAACATGGGAAAATCTCTTCTCTTGATTTTTCTTATCCAATTAGCAATAATGGACAGTGATGTTATTGATTGTGTTTCCTTTGCTGTTGGAAGGAAGGGGGAGGGAGGGAGGGAGATCAGAAATACGATATTGCAAGCAATTTTGAAGTGAATTTCCGTTAAACCTTAAGAGAGGAAAAATATGAACCAGTTAAAAGTGAAAATTTATGAAGGACTGTCTGCTGTTTTTCTCTCTGTAAATCATACTTRGTGATTTAGTGTTGAAAGAGACATTATTTAGATAGAACCAGCTACAGCAGATAGAATTTAAACGATGAACATCTGCAGTAAAGGTAAGCAGATTTTCTTGTTTTGCTGCTGCTTAGAAGTGCTGTAGGTTGTTTCAGATGTTTTTAGGAACCATTTTTGTGAAACAGTTGCTGCTGTTTTTAAAAGCTGAGTGAGCAAATATTTCAGCCAAAACTTTCCAGGAGCAGGAGACAACTTTTCTGTTTATTTAAGAAATATTAAAATACTTGTAAACATTTTAACTTGAGGCAAAACCATAATAACTTGAATTTGGTGGCAGAAATATAGAGAACTCATATTCTCTAGCAGAAATTGTATCCATTTGTAAAGGAAAAGAAAACCTTTTCTCTGCTAAAGATGAAAATACATATAATGCTTTGCTSTATAGGAAAACTTTTACCAGTCTGGTTTACCCAAGTGATTGATCTGTAAATGCACCTGCACTTTTCTCTTGCCTTTGCTCTTTATCAGCTTTCCTCATATTTTCTCTTTCTTGATGAGTGAAGCCTTTCCAAATTCAGGAACTTCTCTATTTCTTCTATTTGGCTTTTTATGTTGAACTTGTGTGTGGGACCCCTCTCCTGGTCTCTGAGTGCGCTTTCACCTACTGCCGTCACAGCCACGCGTGAAGACTTCTGCTCGTGCTTTAAAACATCAAATCCTTCTTCTGCCTGCCAATACAGATTTAGCAGTTAATTATACAGTGACATTCAGGTACAGAGGTTCAAAATGTGAAATTTTTCTAAGCAGTAAACAATCATATGTGAATACAATGCTAACCTTAATTTATGAAACTTGATAATGCTCAGTGTACTTYATAAAAGTTAAGCCTTAAAACAAAAGTGTGTGCTTTAAAAACRAAAAGAATGTCTGACAACCTTGCATTAGAATGCAGCTCAGTAAAATAAATAGTTTAATTAAGCAGTTTAATGTTGCAATTGACATTTCTATTGCTATGCAGTCACTTGATTAAGAAAACCCCAAATCATGAGGCTTATTGTGTTAACTCCCTCTCTGCTTGGCTTTATTGTTTAGAGTCTAAACACTATTAACTAAAGCAAGGTCTGCAGTCAGTTGATTTTGCCCATTGAAGATATTCTTTGAGTAGGTTTAATTACTCTTTGATAGGCACCTCATATCTCTCTGATCAAACATGTATGGCAGCACAGTAGCTGCACAGCTTTTTGCTTGAATGACAAGCTTGCTTTCCTACCTTAGAAAAACCACAGGTGGTCCTACAGGGAAGTGTAATGGAATAACACATAGSTAATTTTCCTTCTTGTGTAGAGGATTAACATTAAAGGAGGTAAGTCAGAGTAATCAGCCATTAGAAAAGTGGTATTTTGGAATTGTGCTGATTATTTTTCATTGGATGAGTAATTACATGAAGTACCTTTCAGGATAGTGTTATTGCTTATGTGCTAAATGTATGCCAAAAATTCTGCTTTTAGAGGAACCCTCAACTGTCTCAGTCCTCACTCATGTGTGCGATATCATGGATGTAGAGTTTCAGTTATTGGTGAGAACTGGTTTGCTGCAATGCATTAACAGAGGTTTAAYAACTTAAGTTCCATCTCTCTGGGCCATCTTTTGATCCTGTTAATTTGGGGCCAGTTTGGAACAGCAGGGCTGGATTCGACAGCAGGTGGCTGCAATGCTGCCTCTCAGGTGTTAAATGTTACCTCAGGTGTTTTATACCCCTCCACAGAACTCCACCTCTTAACAGTGATTTCATCTAAGGAGTTTGGTGGTAGATCCTGATGAAGGAAAGAGCTCCTGGAGCCTGTGCAGCCCAGAGATTCTTCCACCRTGACCATGAGCTCGCTTAGAAACACTAGATGTAAAAAACTTGAGTGAAAATTATTTCTGCTCATTAGCACAGCACAGATACTGTGCTCTTAGATTCAATATCTGTTAGATATTCAATAGAAATTTTGCCTGGTAGTCGGCTAGCGATATATTATCTCATTACTAAACTTGTGTCTCTGAGTTTGTTTTTAAACAAATAATATTTATCTTGGTTAAAAAAAAAAAAGGTAGGCCTGGTAAGACTGTGGGACTACAGTAAGGTTGCCTCATATTTGAAAAGTAGTAGAAAGAAACAATTTTCATCATTTTTTTTTTACATTTGATATTTCTAAGTGAGAGAAAGCCGTGCCCCTTTACTAGGACTTCATTTGAAGACTGCAAGCATTTAGACCTCTTTGGAGAACTAATTGCAATTAGATAAGCTACATAGCAATTTAATAAAGTTCTATGACCGTGGGTTTAGAATATAACATAGCTTTTAAACAAAGGCAGCTATTGAAGTCCTCACACTTCCCCACAATACACTACAGGTAAAGAGAACAATGCATCCCATGAACGTGTTTAACTGAGCTGAGGCTGCTTATACATCCTTACTCAGGTATGTATAGAATAATGTTGAAAATACTTCTTCATTTTTTTTTTTTTAGAACTTTATACACAGATGTAGTTTTTTCTCTTTCTCCCCCGTTCCTTTTTACAGTGGTGCATTTTGTGTGAATGAGATTATCCACAGTGTAGAAGGCTAAGACTGCTGTAAGTTATAGACATACCTAGCAGTCAAAACAACTAAATGGAGTGGCAAAGAGTGCTGCTGAGTCTATTTTCCATCTTCCACCAGCCTTTCCACATCAGTCATAAAAATGACAAATTTGAGGAAGGGTATTAGAATGACACAAGAGAAGGGAAGAGTGGTCTGTAAAATCCCAGGCAGAGAGTTCATAGATCAAGTATTTTGAAAACCATGTAAGGTCTAAGGTGCTTTGTTTTTGTCTATCACAGCTTTTACCTAGTCTGTACAGGGGGAGATTTAAGTGGGAGATGATGCAGTGCACATAGCCACAATTGGTAACAAAATACATCATTTGAGTAACAAAATACATCATTTTAAGTAGTTGTAGATTTGATCCACCACTTCTCATTCTCCATTACTTGCCCTTCCCTTTTGGAAGGGGATCTCCACCTCAGTGAGGAAAAGGAGAGCGCTGCAAATACAGTCCCTATGATTACAGTCAGTAAAGTGGAACATGGACCTCGCTGTCATTCCCAGTTAGTGCCCTGTGAGGAAGTTTGAGTGATTTAGCAGCAYCAGCCTTTCCTTCTAAATTTCAGAACATTTAGCAGCACTGAGGACAACTGCCCAGCTGCACGGAAGTTGGACAGCTCGGTCGTTCCTTGGGAACACTGTAAGCTCTGACCTCAGGCTGTCCCCAGAGGAGACAGCCCCAAGTACCCAGGGAACTCCTCTCGAGCCGCTTCTGAAGGGGAAGGCCCACTGCAAATACAGATTATTATATYGCCCTTCAAAGGCTATGTTTAGCATTACCTATAAATTAAGGTTTAATGCTAATAGTGCAGGTGAGCTGTTCAAGTTATAAATAACAGACAGTGTTCTAACAAAGAACTGAAAGCACAGCATGAACTATTGCTGGTGTCAACTCATTCCCTGCTTTTAGGTGATGTCATTATGCTAAGCAATGTGGTAGGTTTTAATGGAGCACTGCAACTGCAGCGTAAACTAACTAATAGGCTCCAATTCATAAACACGCTGAATTTTCAGCCCGTGGCAGATTTTTTTAAACAACATGTATATGCCAAATAATAAACAATGTTTTTATACTTAAAAAAAAAAGCTTTTTTTTTTTTTTTTTTAAGCTCTTATTTACTTCTGTAGGTGATGGTATTTAAGGTAGATAGTGAACTACCCTTTTTCTCCCCTCCCAACCAGACTGGTTAGCATCTACTTGATTCATATGCTGTGACTTTTTCCTGCTGCTTTCTATCAACCTTAATTGTGAAAAATGGTGCCTTGTTGCCCTTTTGATATTATTTTGGAGATTGACTCAGCCCTAAAGTATCCAGATGCATACAGTTGTACAAATATCTCTGGAATTAGCTCACTGAGGTCTGGTCCGCAATATTTTTAATTGACTTACATGTTCTGTGGGAAAAGAAGAATCACAAAGAGCCTTTGCTGCAGCATTCCTTTCCTCACGAGGGTCTCCCTGGGGGGCTTGGTGGATACTACAGATATTCAAAGTGTCGGCAGCTCTGTTGAAACTGGGGGAACCTGATTGACAAAAAGGAAATGGTAACAACTGCAATTTAGTCTCTAGGCACTAATTATAAAGTAACTAAACTTCTGCTTTACCTCTGATCTTTAAAAAATAGAGAAAAAWTAGTGTTTTTGTTTTAAATGATTAAATCTCTGTTGCAGGTTCTTCCCTTGTCATTTTTTTTCTTTCATGCACTACTGCATCTAGTTTGTCTCTAAAGATGGCTCAAGTTTCCTTTCTGATTGTAAATGTTTTATGCTGTGTTTCACAGGTAATTGCAAATTAAAATTGATTTATAGAAAAAAAYATTTTCTGAGTATTCTTTTTTTCAGACCATGCTACTTTATCAGTACATCACCTTCTGATAAATACATAATTACTGCCATCCTTGCGTTACAGTGCAGGGTGAGTTGTTATAATAAAAACATTCTAAATACAAAGGTATTTAAACAGTTGAGAAACATTTATTAAATGAGGAATCTTTTTGTAAATGGATRTACCCACTATTTCTTGAGCTTAGACACAAACTATTTACTAAAGATTGAGGGATAGACARACGCAGCTGAGACTATGGCCCTAATCCTGCAGTGGCTTTATACACTGTTATTAGACTCTTCTAAAACCAAGATCAAATTCTTTGCAAAAATCAAAACATGAGTGTACTCTCAATTATTCACAATGCAATAGCAACTGTTAACATTACTACTGYGTTACTTGACCATCGTTGCTGTAATAGTAAAATCATGACCTTAATATGAAAACAGTATTAAGTGATGTTTATGTATCAGAAAGTTAAGAGGACTATCTTTTCCTTTTGTACATGAGGGTAGAAAGGAATGCAGTTGTAATTATAAGCTTGATTTTTTTTTCTTTTTTTTTCTAATCAAAATTCTTCAGGGAGATCCTGCCCATTTCTTTGTTAACACTTATCTTGTGGCTGTTCTCTGCATYTTAACCTTCCAACAATTCTCTCTACCTTAGCTTGTGTAGAAAGCAATTGGTATTTGAAGGACTCCCTCAGTCTCCCATATAGCTAATAGTATTTATGCTTGGAAGTATGAACATTTTTTAAGAGATATTGTCCATGTGGATTCTCCCCCAGGCAGACATTTAGGGGAGGAAAAAAACAAGGATGAAAAAGACAGAAGGAACCCTGGGACGTGGCAGTGCTGTGTACAGCAAAGCCTAGCCCAACTCTTGRGTGCCCTGTGAGATTTTTCTATGGCCTAGGAAGGGGCAAAGGGCCCAGTGAAGTCAAAACTTATCTAAATTAGCTGGGATGATGACAGGGAGAGGCAGAGCGGGGACCCAGCCCGAGCCGGTCTGTGTGAAGCGTTGCTAGAGGTGGAAAYCTGGTGACCCTGTCTGGGCACAAGAAACTCATGTGGGGAGCGAGGCTCTTACTCAGCCTCTCCAGCTTCACTCCTTGCACACGTGAAAAGGTTGCTGACAAGGAAAGCAGCAGGAACACAAGAATGTAGATAGGGCTCGGCCAACACATGCAGAAAAGTGTGCCTTGTCCTGCTGGAGCAGGCTTCACAATTCACAAGACTCTAAAGTCTAAGATTTCTTATAAGAAATGTTGTACCAGCTGCACTGGCACTTCTGCTACCTTGCTGTCACCAGTGGCGTTTAGGGGATGAAAGCTCCTCTGAAACTAAACTCAGAAAAAAATGTGTGACTGCAAATCTAGAGGCAAGAGACCTCCTACAGAAACAGAACCCGCAGGCAATCTGCATTTTGAGAAATCAATTATTTTGATTGTATTCCCTTACTTGAGAGAGGGGAAGATATGGATAGATGAAGTCATCTTCGTGGTGAAAGACTTAYCATGTTGGTTAGAAAGAAAAAAGCATCTCGGTAATGAAAAAGCACTGCCAGCCAGGTAACACTTCCCAGAGCTTCAAACAACATGAACTTTTCAATGCATTCACCATATTCAGAGATGGCTCTGAGTGCCCATCTGAATTAAAGTACCAAAAAACAAACAAAAAAAMCCCCACCCACAAATAAACTTGTAAAGCCAATTCAATGAAATATTTACAGGTTCAAAATATATCCTATTATTTATGTGGAATAAGTGATTTGCAAAAGGTACTCAGTTTTTCAGATCACATGCAGAGCTCTGATATCATATACTCCATACTGGAGTTAGAAATGCCTAAAAACATCCARGTTATCATTACACAGCTTTTCTTTTATAAAGGAAGACAGAAGYAAGACAGAAAGTTTATTTAATCGGATAACTGAGTAAAGAAAAGCTATTTAGTTGCATTTACAATGTAAATTAGACATCTTCTCTATTTCTGTTTTTCCACATAACTAAAATACCAGAAGTTTYACATTTTTCCTCCTATTACACTGAACTGCTTACATGCCAAAATTTGATTTTTTTTTTTTTGAAATATATCCAATGCATACTTCAAATATGAAGAACTATCTTCCTTACCTAGACACATTTCTTTGCTGACAACACTTTCGCTGACATTCTGCGTGTCTGAAATACTCTTCCTGCTTTCTGCCAGAGTGGGTAGTTTCTCTTGCAAAAGAGAAGGCTCTTTGGAAGCTGAAGTCCACATTGTTTGACTTCTTACTTGATTTACTCTTGAACAAGAACTGAGATCTAAAAACTTAAAGAGTACTGGAGTTTTCTCAGCTTTTTTACCCCAGGTTGAAAGATCAAAGGATGACCTTCCACTTAGGTTTACTAGATTTCCAGATGTTCTCATGGGTAAAGAACATGATTCTTTCAGGTGACCCTCAGCAAACTTACTTCCTGGAACTGTACTACTTAGTGAACCTTTTTTCTCTTTTAACAGTGCGTTATTTATTGAATTATCATTAATCTCCAGAGAATGTTCATTTTTGATGGGCTGTATCTGTGTATTGTTACTAACATCTTCACAGGGTGTGAGATTATCTGTACTACTTCTGTCTTTCGAGGTTTCCTTATGAATGACTGTTTCAAGGTCACCACCAGCATTTGTTGTAGATACATTTTCWACATTCAAAGCACATTTTTTTGTATCACTGCCTGTTTGCTCAGCACTGGCTTGTTCAGGCTGGTTGCTCTGTGTGTCAGTCACGCTTATTCCTCTATCTGCTTTTGCAGATAAATTGAAAGCACCGCTAAGAGGCCTATTAGTGCTATGTTCTTCTAGGATGTCGTCACTACTTGCAGTATCACCATAAAGAGTGGGTAAAAGAGTGGGTAAATTTGCACTATCTGCTGCTGGAAAAYCAACAGTCAGTAGAGCAGCATTTCGGCTTATGTTTCTGGCATTGTCGTTGCAATTTCTCTCTTCAAYACCTACATGTTTCTGGTTAAACAGAAATTTATGTAAATCACTCAGACTTAACTTTTTTTCTGCTTCCTTTGGTCTGTTTTCTACACCACCGTCACTGTCCAGCAAGCTACAGTCCTGGTATTCTGCCTGATCATTTTCTTTAGTGTAAGACAGGATGCCAACGTTGACTTCCTTGCCTTGATGACTGCCTGCACTTCTCTCGGGCTCAGCCTTCTCCTCAGTGCCCAGAGCTCCTCCAGACTCCTTGCTGRGTGCCTCAGGCACAAGGGCACTTTTGGTGCATTGTAGGGCACACATCTTTTTGTCTGCATTAACACAAGCCGGTTCGTCTGTAGCGTTGCCCARCTCTTCCCTGCTGGAGCTCGTCTCCTGACTCGGAGCCTTTTGGTAGCTCCCTGCTACGTCAATGCCATCTAGAAACACCTTTCCAGCCCCTGTGCGAAGTGCCGGCAGGTCGAGGCAGTCCGGGAGCTGGTGTTCTGAGCCTGCTTGCTTCTCCTGCAGCACCACCCTGGGGATTGCTCCCAGATTTTCTGCCGCTTTGCACTCGGTGACACACGTTTCCCGGGGCTGTCCTTGGGCAATTAAATCGGTACCAGTGCCCAAGGTGTTCTTCCTGGAAGAAGCCTCCCCTTGCTGTTCTATGTGAGGAGCAGCAACGTTATCTTCATCCTCACAACTGTTTTCAAGAACTTGTAAAACTGTTAAAGATAAACATTTAAATGTTTAACTTAAAGATAAATGCAATGTTTTTCAGCAACTTGCAAAACATTTGTGAACTGTTCAAACATAAGATATTAACATTCAYTATATTTTAAGTATGAATTAAGATAGTAAAAATATTTCCCAAGTGGCATATTAGCCCAGTTATTGAAGAACATCTTCATTATGAACGTATATCACATTTAACAACTCACTACATATTCCTTTCTCCATCAAGTTTATGTCACCGGTGTGCTACCACAAGTACATTTAATGGTTAGGGGACAGGGAGGAGGAACTCAGGCTTTTCACCATCAGAAAGGGAAAGGGCCTCTTGAACTGGCACACAGAAGTAGTGCTGCAAAGGCTTAAGGTGTGCCAGCTCACAGACCCTCTTTCATRGCCAAAGCAGCTCCTGTGCTTTCAYCCTGAACCTCGGGTACTTCCCGCCGATCAGCACTACTGACACACAGAATTTTGCTGTCATTAGTACAAAAATATTTACTCTTGGATTCAGGCCTTCTCTTGTCACATGCTATATCCATAAAGCATGTATACTTTTGTTAACAACACTACTTATCTCTATTGTCAGKGGGACGTTATTACTTTGTTCTATCTGCACTTCCTCCAGGTGGAACGGACAGTCCATCACATTTTCTATTCCAACTTCTTCTTTATGCCCAGAAATGCCATCTTTCCTTAGATGTTGTATACACTCCTTCTCTTTCTGAATAGGCTGTATTGCACTATCTTTTGATTGCTCTTGACCACACTGGCATAAGAAATAACAACAAAAAAAAACATATTCTAAGAGGTTACTACTAATATTAGTTTCTCCAAAAGAGCAGCTATCCACGCTTTTTCCTTTACTGACTTCACACAGACCCTGAACCCAGAACCACATGTGAATTTGGTCTGGTCTGCAAAGCAAGTCAAATTATAATTCAAGCTGTATTGCTTAAAACAACTTTGTCCCCTGCATTCATTAATTCACTAATTTATTAAGCTAAAACTGAGGAGCTTAGTTTATCTATATGTTGATAAAGTGGATAACTACCCTGTATTAGAGGCTGAAATTAGTTCTGAGTAGAAGCTTCCATATTTCCAAGGAACCTGGAAATCGGGGTCAGTTGCTCTGCACAGATGCTACTTGAGAAACACCTGTATATTCATGAAATGAATTTACTAAACAGATAACTTTAGATGAATGCTATTTACTTACTATTACTACTACTACTACTACTTTATTATTAAGCTTATTAATGAGGYAATGAACATCAAGTTTTCATGTAATGAGCACCCATCAAGAAAGGAGAACCTTTTGTGTACAGTAAGTTTGAACAGGATCTTGGATCATTGTTTACATCAGAGAACTTATGTAAAAAAATGGAGATTAATGGWTACCAGAGCCAGATTATAAACTATCATGTTTCTGTGATGCTGCAGGATCTTTTACAAGAAGAAAATGCTGCAGCTATTACACACACTTACCTGCAGATTTTCTGCTTGTCYAGAACACTCATTTTCCTGAAGAGACTGAAAATCAAGAGGGGCAGAAACTCCTTTAAGGGAATTCAGCTCATTTTTCATAGCATCTATCTCCTTTCTCATATTTTCCTCCTACAATAATTGAGAGTGGACAGAGCACACTGACCTTTACTGCATGTTCAAACATGAAAGACAGTATTTTATAGTGGTATCAACAGCTCGGCAAATTAAGGTGAATCAATCCTTATGCTGAATAATAAAATGAAGTTACASATTCTAAAGTAGTCCTCTATATAGAATTAAATAACTTTGAGCCCTTTCTTTCAAGCTAAGAATTTTAACCCCTTTTTCCATTATCTCGCAGAAAAGTTTTTTTGCTAAGTGGTCCTTGATCACCTTTTACTTCAAGTAGCAGCTCTCAAAAAAACAGGGTTTGTGTTTGTATTTAGTTCAATTTTTTAGTTCAAAAGTGCTAGTCAGCCTATGATTATGGATGATTTGCTTGGTACTACTTCTRGAAATAGACTCAAGTACCATTACCTTTTCAGTGAATATGTATCAGCTACATCTTAAGATTTAGAACAAAAAGGAAGATCAAGTCGACAAGATGCAAAAACAAAAGGGTTTTTTTAGATAAATTTCTCTATTTAATCAGCAAATGTTATTTCCATAGCAGTGAATGTTAACATGACCCATGATGCTACTACACTAGAAGAAATCAACACAATCTTTAGTTAGCCAAAGCAGAAATATGGAAAAACAAAATGAAAAAGTTATCTTCTAAAGCTTAATGGGAAACATTGCTGAGAAATAAATGGCTTATTCTCTTGTCTGTACACAAAACAACGGTGTGAGACTCTCRTAGAAAACAAGAAGATGGAATTTTCTGTCCTCAGAGCAGTGAGCATCGGAACAGAAGCTATTTTGCAGCCTCCAGGTTATAAGCCTATATATAACCCTCTCCATAGCACCTAAACTCAAGGAGTCTGAGAATAGCAGGACTAAAACAACAGTTTAACACAACCCTCCACAAAGCATTTCCTGRGCCTTCTACAACCTCAACACCTTTCTGGCAGTAGGTGCCTAAGCAGTAGCAATAAGAGACATACGACAGGCTATTAAACAAATGCTACTTAGAGTGTGATTTTTCACGAGACACTTCCTGCCTTATTTTAAAAAGTGTTCATCTCACATGTGCCTTTATTTTTGCAGAGGATTCTTACAGCTATAATATTTTGCCAAATCATTGTTTATTCATATGAGGAGATGAATTCATAAAGACAACATGTGTTACTATCATTTTTTTAAATCCTCTTTCATCCCATAGTCTATTTTGAATATTTCTTGACAAATGAGAACCTCTGTCTTCATGCAGCCMCTCTGGCATCTCAACCTGATTGAATTTGAGTTTCCATTTTTCCCGAGTGTATGGTTCTGCTGAAGGACTTCAGGTTTTTATTACTTCTGACCATGTGGACATCCAGTTTTTAATATATGATTCATTGACAGTTCTTTTTTCCCCCATCACACAAAAGCACAGCCTAGAAATATTGGCACACACTGCTAAATTCTGGAGTAAATTCAGTCAGTATAAATGGAAAAAATATATCAGCTTCTATTTCTAGGTAATGGCAAGTGTGTAATTAAGGAATATTTCTAAATGCTCAATTCAAGATAACATATTCTCGATTTATAGGGTTGCAGGAAATAGTGTCCCTCAGCGGCATGGAAGTCAACATCTTTACAAAATGTACTTTTAAACATAATCACTTCTAGAAAAGTCTGCATTACTAGAAATTTATATTTTAAAAATTGTATTACTTCTACAGTATTTTTTTGGCTTTTAAGAATTGCCTCAAATGCTTGATGACCATTTCAAACCCCTTTTAATACTCTWATATTTAATTTAGTAAACCTACATCTTTTTTCCAAGTTCTTAGTGCCTTCTCATGCTCATTCTGAAGATTAAGGAACTTTTCTTCATTTTCCTTTGCCTTCTCCCTTTGCAGCTCATTATCTCTTTCAAGGGTCTGCAATAAAATTAATTATCCAAAAAATAATCAATACCATATTAATGAATTTTGATGTGTTTTATGTTGCTTGGACCTTTGCTTCTAACATGCTGGAAGTGCCATACAGATCAGTGATAATGTGCTATCTCAACAATAATTTTCATAAATTAACAGAAAGGTGCTTATAGTTTAGCTAACAGGAAACAGGGGGAGGTTATGAGAAAAGAAACGGCTATAAAAGGGTATAAAAACACTTGCCATTATTCAGTTTCACTGCATAAGTTTTAATGTGCTGAAAAAGTAATATAAAGTACAGAGATGAGAAATATGAAATGTAGCATGATCTAGGCCCAGTGCACTTAAAGAAAAAACTACTATATAGACAAAGAATATATGGCTGGTTTGCTTATCAGTGTTTCTATCCTAAGCTGCTTAATAACCTATCCTATAAACTGTATTAACTTTAAATTGTAAAATACATTTACTTATATATTATATATCTGATATATCTGATTATCTTTATTACATCACTGAAACAGAATAAAAGGCATTAAAACAATAGTACTTTTTTTTTTCATGATAGCAATTGTGCTTCAACATTTTTGGTTAATCATTTCAGCTTTATTRTCCTACAGATAAGTTACAGCTGTCTGACACGTGTAAATCAACATTTATCACATCTCAGGTACTGCTGGAAATGTTATCTCTTCAAGTTTTTATAGCATGCAATATGGAAGATAAAGGATTTACTGCCTCAACTGTCTACTAAACAGATGATACAAACATACTTGATAACAGAAACACCACTTTAATGCTCACATGTATATATGTATATTCATGTGTACTCATATATACACACATTTTTAYGTGTATTCAACCAAGTATATGCACAAGCTGCTTCAAAAGCATCAGGTAGGGTAGTATACTTCAGAGAACTTCCATTTTACTTACTTTTAACTAATACTATCAATCTACTTCTTGGTTTGCTCAGCAACAATTTAGAAATGCCTGTATYATTTTGGCATTAATACAGATAAACTATTTTACAAGTACAACAATAAGATAACTTAGAAAACCTCATCTGAATGAACATGGAAGATATTTTTCAGAATCCAGAGTAAATCTGTTATAAGAAAACTAAGAAGAGGACGCAAGCTGCCTGAACAATCACACTTACACTGATGCAGCCCCTCTCATCCAGTTCTGCAAGTCAGGAGCCCAAGGCCTCCTTTCTTCAATAAACTTGCTCTCGTACCAAGGATTCTTTTACTTGGGGCCCAAATTCAATCTGGTGTGTAGCAGTAATTTACAGCACAGCTCTTAGGATAACATGAGCAGCATATTAATGTGCAAAGCTAACACCGCAGAAGGAAGAATCATCTGCGTTACCTAAAGCTTTCCTTCAGGMGCTCCTCTTCTAAGGCAAACCCTGGCTTTGCCTATTTACATGTGGAATCACTGTCTGAAATGCCTGAATATTTAAGGATTCCTCACAGCTAATAGCCCTATTCTACTGAACTACCTCTGAAATAACAATGGTTTCAAAATAACTTATCCAAAATATCTTCTTATAGTCACTAAGAAATTTAATTAGTAGTATGGAGATCTGAAAAATGAAGTCAGCCCTACATCTGAAAGGGTTAACTATCACCCTCTTTAAATCCTGAAGATCCACTGTCAGAACATCAACAGATTTTTTTTTTCCATAAGCAAGAATAGCATCACCAACTTCATTATTGGTTCAGTATTACTCGTGTTGTTGCATTGCTGAAGCATGAAATTTGTGAAGGAAAAAAGCATGTAGTGCAAAACAAAGCCACATCTGTTCTAAACGTGTAAATAAAATCAATCTAATACTTCTTAGATGTACCCATAGGAAATCTTTGAGTTTTAGGAATACTGTGTTCAAGTATCCAACTGTTGGAATACTGAGAAATCCTGAAAGGAGAAGGGATGAGTCAGTATAAGGGCAGATGGAGCATTACTGGCTACCAGGATCATTTCAGTGGTAGGAAGCAGAACTTGGCTAAGTCAGAGTTAGCACCGTCATCTTGGTTGAGGTCTCTCTGAGTTTGAAGTCCTTCAGGTTTCCTACTGGTGAACAACATGGTTTATGCACAAAGATGTTTGCTTTCAAAATGCATAAGAATTTTTCTTCCCCCCCCGCCCCCCTAAACCTTTCAGGTTAACAAGAGGTTGCGATAATATGATGATCAGATTTTCATCAAGATTTGCMAGTATTCTCTGTAAAAAGTCTATTTAAATAGAAATGCCCACTTSCTATTTAGTCTGAGTTATTAATAAAATGTTGGAATAGTTGATGAATAGAAAAGAGCGTATGTTAAAACCAGTTGTATAGAGAAGGGAATAGCCAAATTCCTTGCATTCTCAAATATTGTGTCACACATTAAAGGATTACAACTTGCTTTTCTGAACTCTTAAGGACATTGATATCCTAGCGCTAAGCATTTTTAGAGAGAAGGGCTGGCTTGATTGTTCAGCAATGTCTCCTTGCAAATTTAAGTGCCCAGTTACCCCAGACCCATAAGAAGCTTTTTGCATGTGTGCACGTATAAGAGAAATAAAAGCATTTCCACTAGACTTCGCAGGGACCTTTGGCCATTCTTCTGTTTTTCAAAAGAAACWCTTTACTGAAAAGCAAGATCTACAAATACAACCAAGAAGCAGGATGCAGCACAGGAACTGCACATGATCTTCAGACTCCACTCAATGTTGGGAGTCTAGTATCTATGAAAATAAAAGCATTAATTCCAAAGTTGGTAAGAAGGTGGGAACATCCCCCAAAATATGTATTCATACCCTATTTAGAAGTTCCATTTGCTGCTTTAAAAATGACACTGCAAAGTAAGCTAACCTGCTAATATAACAGCTCAGTCTCAAATTCTCAGTCAAATGAGCAACTAAAAGAGGCAGTAATATTTTACGACTACTATATAAAAAAACATATTTTGACCAAAATAATCCTTTTAGGAAAAATAGAAACGTATGACATCCACCTTTAATATAGCAGTTATAAGCATCATACCATTTAAGATAAAACAGGAGATCAAAGTATTTATGTATTTATTTTACGAAAAAACACTTGAAATATCTAGCCACATTTATGTTTACAGGTGTGATCTCTTGAAAAAACATCATCTATCAGATCTCAAGTGCTTATATAAATATTATGAATCCTTTAATTCCTACTCTCAAGTGAGAATGCCTTGGTTTTGAGAATGCACAGAATGCTCTTAGAAATCTCAACTAAGACTAAATCTTAGTTGATCTTAATTGCCACAGCAAAGACTAAGAAGGAATATTTACATCATCAAGCTTTAGAACTCAAACATCAAACTAGGAATTCAGGACTCCTTATATAGTCAGAGTTTTCAAAGGGTGAGTCACAGTCTCCTATTAGTTATCCATGTCCTCTAACACCAAATTCCTCTAAAATAATAGGGTCCTCAAGAAACCACCAAGGACTACATTGAAGCTTTAATGAATAAAAGTTTGTCTTGGGGTTAGAAAAATTAGGAAATATGAATACCACCCCAACTCCTTACATAAACAAGACCCAAGCCAGAACAGGCTCTCAAGATGACAATTAGTATCATTGCAAACAAAAACTAATTGTTGGCCTGCACAGGCTACAAAGCACAGATCTATACTCAATTCATATCTTAACAACAAGGAAGCAAGGACTGCTTCCCTTGAGCTCGGGCATTTCTATGGAGTCTACAAAGTTTCACAGGCAGAACTTGCAATTTTAGCTGGAGTTTCAAGGCATATCTAGCTATAAACTTATCTCACAGAGGAAACAGCTCATAGCTATTATCAGAAAAAAAGGCATTTTTATACTAGATCTGCTATTGAGCAACACAGAAGTCCTAAAGGTATTATAAATTTAATGTATGCACATTAAACTAGGAATACAGTATTAGTATACCCGCATTCCTTCTTTGTTCCTCTGAGCTGTCAATCTTCAACTTATTTTTCCTGAGCTTTGGGAGATTTGCTTTTATTTATTATTATCAATTTAGAAAAGAAAATGAACTTTTCCGTTTCATTCTAACAAAGAGTAGTGTGAATATTGCACAAATAGCAACTAATTCAGCTATCTCACCATTTCTGCTGATAAACCAACATACAAATAAGAAAGGTTACAAAAGAACACGCTATATTGATAAACTCCTGTCCCTGGAATTGCTTAAATTGACCTYGGCCAAGAGATGCTAAGAGCAGAAAAAAATAACCTTTTCCCGTTAAACTAGTTTTATCCTACTTAAATGTTAACTTTAATTGTTCAGTCAAAATACAAGAGCAGAAAATAAAATGCATAAACTTACATATAGGATAAACATATGTAACAGAGTAAAAGACTCCTGTGAACTGAATCTAATTGCAGTTTAGCAGAGAAGTGTTTTCTTAAATAAAAGCCTACAAACACATATGTAGTTAATTCTGAAACAGAGATTGTAGTTCAAAGCTTTGACCTTGGAGGCTAAACAAGGAATGGCCTGGTTCCACAGTTACACGGATAAATAATCCGCAGTAATTCAGAGTCCAATCAACAGTTGAACCTGAAGCGTGCATGGGACACCTGACTGGAGCRTATATGACCTTAATCTTTCACGTACTGTGGGACCATTCAACTGCTAGCRTAATTTAGACTCTAATCTATTCTAAGCCCTTTCAAATTGCTAAAAGAGCAACTAGGACACTTTGTCATTRCCCATGCTCCAACATGAATACTTACCATCCCCAAAACATATGCTGGACTGGACAGCACAGCAAGAAAGGGCTAAAAGAATATGCTCTTTTTTGGCCACCCTGCTCTAATAAAATTGAGAACAAGGTCTGGACTGTGAGAACAGTATTGACCTTAATGTTAAAGTACTTTCCAGTAACAAGTATAAATAAAAAAAAAAAAAGTACAAAATCTTGAAGTACTTGAAAGCAACCACAAGCATATTTTGGTTTTACCCGCCAGAAATGGCTGATAAGGAATGGTAACCATGATTTACTTTTGGCGGAGAACTAGAAAAGGGAAACCATAGAGTGTGTTTCAAGGTTCATGTTGACAGTTAAGGAGCTGAGGGAGCAATGGAAGTGAGGTCAAAAGTTCTGAAAAGCATACAGATGTCTTTAACAGCCCTACACTTAAGAACACATAGCAAATAGTAGCAGTTTGTCTAATCAAGAAAAATCTGACCTGATATTCTTCTTTCAGTGCCTTGAATTCATCTTCCATTCTTGCATTTGTTTGTGTCATTCGCTGAAGCAACTCCTGCACACGTTGTAGAGAGCTGAGAATTTCCTTATTAATAAAAACAAAAAATACACTGAGTACATCATTTCTGAAATTGAAAAGATATTATCTAATGTTTAAAGACATTTAAAGACTCACTGAAAGTAGATCATGCCTAAAAGAAAATCTTCCAGATAGAGAAAATTTTCCAGAGTTCCAGATAGAACTCATATGACTAAAAAACTAGTTACTATATTGTAATTTCTAGGAGAATAAGATCTAAAAGAACTATCAAAAATGAATTAGTGTGTTTCACAGGTGGTATAGATTTAAAAAGTCAAAAGATGYTACCTTTATTAAAGTTTGTTAGAGCTAGCTAAAAACATGGTGCAAACTAAAGGTATTTTATATTAAAGCAATATCAAAGACCTTTCTCAAGTCTAAGACATTGTGGATAATCTAGCCAAGTCAGTCTATTTGCCACAGATCAGACCAGCAGTTACTAAAGAAGAATCTGCACAGGAACACAATTGAGTTAAAGAGAGAAAATATCTTTAAATGGATTTAGTTGTTTCAAAATATATTGAGAGAGAAACAATTTAAATGAGTTACCTTTATAAACTTAAATATCTTTCAAAATTATGTATTTTTGGTATTATTATTTATGCAGATGCAACCACCTAATTAAAACACAATTATTATTTTTGGTATATTGCCATGGTGAGAGAAATAATGTTTGTCTATCRTTTTTCTTTGAAGTCTCAAGTTATTTATAGCTCAGTTTTACTGAAGCATAGAAATGTGAATGACTCGCCCAGTGTCATCCTGCAAGTCAGCAGCACAGTTACATCCTTTGTGTCCAGTGCAGTGTCCATTTAACTGGATAGGATTGCTTCCTTTCATACAATTAATTGTGAATTGAATACGTTGTCCRTGATAGTCTGTCTCAATCCAACAGCTGCTGAAGTTAAAAACTTAATACAGAAAACTTTTAGATCAGTCATACAAAAATCCAAATATTCTAAGGCCACTCTTGGAGAAAACAAGAGGTTAATGTCTATATTAGCCCACTCCACAGATTTCTACCAAAACAGCTATGTAATAAGAAATCACATTAAAGAAAACACATAAATAAGCATGGACAATACCAGTCCTTTTCTTAGGCAATATATATGATATAAATACACGAACTAGGCAACAAGCATCTCTGCAGGAGTGCTCTTAGCACATCTGGAGCTGGGGGAGTAGCAAAGATGACTGACCATGTACCTCATTTTTTTTTCCAATGTTTAATGGCAAGTATTTTTCAAAAACAAATTCAGCACACGAACAGACTTAAGGACTGGAATAGTGCTGCTGCATTAGCCTTTAATGACTGCTCAGTGGGTACACATGCAAGCTGCTGCTCTTGTCCCTCCCTCAGAGTAAGGATGATAACAGTTGCCTGCCACTTTTGATTTAATGTCCTGCAGAATGAAAATGATTGATATCATTCCAATTCTGCCCATTTTAAATACCCATAAACTGTTGGCTATCGGAATACAGAACAGCAGGAATATTATGCAAGGCTTATTGCTTATTTGTATTGAACAGATGTGTTAACAGCTATTTTCATAGGTATGTCAAGGTTCTAATATCTGATTTCAAAGAAAAAAAGTTAAGACTTGTAAAGCAATGTTAAAAATGTAGTTTGCTCTACTATTTCARTTTCTAAAAACTGAGGACTAAGATCTCATGTGTGTTATTAAATTRTTCCTGAAAAGAAAAAAAGGTAATTTAACAGCTTAGTATGATCACTTAATAATCTTATATGCAACACACAGCATATAAGTTCTTAAGCAGTTTTAAATATCAAGGTTATATTCACAACTCACCAGCTTTTCTTCTTTAATGTGAGCATTTTCTTCTTGAAATTTTTTACTAACTTCCATCTCCTTTAAAAAAATAATAAYGCATATGCAACAGTACAGCAGACATTTAAAATTTTTCTGTATTTTCTTTAGTAATATTGTATTAGTGAGAGATTTTGCATCATCACCTGCAGACTGTTTAAAGAACGTCAAGGATTTTTGGAAGTGTTTTCTTATCAATATTACGTTGATAATATATTTACTTTCATTGAAAAGGTAAACACTCTTGGAGGTAATTTTATCATATAGTATATGCAATTAGGAGAAAGCAAGCACTAATGTATACACATTGCAAATCATTGCCACAATGTTTTCTAAATGAGCAACAGAAAATATTAAGCAAACATTTGATTGCTTTAAATGTTAAAATACCATTCTGATTTTTTGTTGCAGTTCTTGATACTCTTTTTCCTTAGCTGCAAGATTGATGTTTTCTTCTCCCACCCTGTACTGAGATGTGACCTTGGACCTTATCAAGTCTGTAGTTACTTTCTTCAGTTCCTTAACACAGGAAACACATATAAATAGTTCATCCAGTATAGGCATTGCAATTCAAAACAAAGACAAATCTTTTAAACTATCTTGAGTCATGCCCTACTTTTAAATAACATATGGAAACACCAGAATAAATTAAACAGAGGAACCAAAATTCATAAAAATGATTAGCTACCTTTTAAGCTGCCAAATGCAGTTAAAAGTTTATTTTCATCAGAAAAATATTATTGTGATAATTTTAGCCCATATGAAACATTTCTGAATGAAATCATTACGATTTTCTTTTTATTCTTATTATGTACAAATAAGAGAATCTATTTCAATATTTTATCTTCCTAGGAGTATATTAGAAATGAGCACTGGATTACGTAATAATTGATATTGGTAAGAACAGTAACAATTACAATAGAAATGAAGTACCTACAAGAACTATTGTGTATGTTTGTGTGAAGAATCAGAAGAAAAAAAAAAGGAAGAAAAGTTAATATCTGGCAAAAACAGGAACTGGCTATAAATTTGGAGGATCTTTGCTTTCCCCAAAACATTAATTACTTAATCTCAGGAGAATGCTAAATTAATTTTATACTAGAGACTTATACAACATGATTCTTCATTTAAAATATGCTTTTGATTTTATAGCCTTTATAATCTCTTAAATATCCTGCTTCTTTTTGGTATCTGTTTCCTAACCAGTTTATTCTAAGATCCTAGTGCAGTGAATAAACAGCAAACGCTTTGATCTCATTAAATTACAACTTATAGTTCCTGGAGTCATAAATATTGTGCCCTTTTCTCCCTTACCCCTCCCATTCTGGTACGAGGTAGTCTGTTTAATATCGCTCTCTCCTTGAGCGCTCTGACGTTTACTCAGACAAATAGCAGAGGTTATGAATGCTGCTCACAGATAGCATCAAGAATTCTTCATGATGCCATAGTGGTGAACCACGCATTCAGAATGGTAATAGTTTTATCTAACAACTAAGTTTGGTCTGTTTAACTTTTCTTCACAAAACTGGAATTCCRTCTTATCACGGACCAGTGGTTTAACTGTTCTGGACAAAATCATATAGCAGTACAGAAGAGAAAGGAAGATTATGTTGTAACTGAAATTCACAAATACAAAGTTACACAGCAAGCACAAATATAGATACTACTTCCAAATCAATCACTTCTACTAACGTGATTTCTCAAATATTTCAGCCATAAATAAATCTCAAATTACCAAGYTGGAACTACATATAATCTCTGAGTCAATTAAACAATTCAAACAACATTGTAGATCCACAGTATCCACTTCTCACTGGGCTTTTCCCATCTTTGCAATAAAAAAACCATAATAGTTATCCTAATTGTACTAGATTCCTCTAGTAAAAGAAACGAAGAGAGCTCCTACATTTAGGTAGAAGAAGGTGCAAGCAGTTTGACTTGATAGAGGTGAACACACACATAGTGCCAATCCTCTATTGATTTATGGTATGGAGTAGACAGTTAATAAACTCTGTTTGCTATATGAGCAGGTGCAGGAGCCTCCTATGGATCTTACATCCATAGGAGTAAATAGATACTATACAGATACTACATATGTATGGATGGATATTACATATTTTACAAAAGTCAGAGCTTTGTACCATGTAGAAATATCTTACTATTTATATTGTATCATGCCCACGAAGTAGAAGACTTTTTCCTTACATATAGCAGGTGGACATGTATAATCCATCAGCTAGCAGTCCCAGCTGTGGTTGTCTCCCAAAATTGTCAGAAGATAAACAAACAGGCAACAAAATGAATAGAAAGAACCAACACAAATCAAAAATAACAGGAAAGTTTTCTGTAGTAAGTGCTAGCTGGTGGTAAGAACATGTTTTATGAATGTGTAAAAACATTTATAAAAATATACTTATTTGCTTGTTTCTCTTAAGTCAATAAATTTTCAGTCCAAGTTTCTGCTTCTCTTCTGTCAGCTTTCTGCCATTAATAAACAGTGGGGGTACATACAACCTTATAAATTAAATGGAAACTGGAAAATAATTTGATAACTTTGCAGAGAAATGCTAAAAAAGGCTAGCTAAGACTTTAGAGCTATTTGTTTGATGTTGATAGCAGCCAACACTCAGGGACATGCTATAGAAATACTTCAAGGCAGCATACATCATGAGTGTCCCTGAAAGAAACAGTCCTTCTCCTTTTGCCCGTCGATCTAAGCTAAAACTCACTTCCTTTCTATTCAAATTTAATTTTGATCAATACAAAATTCTCCTCCWCTCTCCCTCTGAACCACACAACTGTGTGTGCCAGCACAGAGTGGTAGTCCAGGACTAGAAACAGCCACCAAGACAGGCAGATGTATCTGCTTTCCAAGACGCTGCCAGTAGCTTACACAAACTTTAAGGGAACCAAAATTACAATATATATATATATATATATTTTTTCCTTCTTCTCTCTTGCTAGATTGGTGCTACTCTCCGGTATAGTCTCAGGCCTCAGTCTGCATAGTTGTTCTTTAAAAGCTTGTTTCATTGTGTTTTTCTTGGCCAGACTTCAAGTCAAGCATTTTACAGTGCATGAAAAAAAATCCTATCCTATCTAATATGTAAAAGCTCAAATCCTAAAATAAACCTTACTGAAAATGATATTATGCTAGAGAGTCTGTTAAGCCAGGCTATCATAACTAGACTTGTAAGGAGGCCATGTCAAGAACAAACCACATCCTCTTTCTATAATATTTCTTTCTACAAATCCCTAAAGACAAATCCTGCAAAGAATAGACCTCTGTTTAACCCAGGTTCAGCTGCCATGCACTCTGAACACCCCCATCATATACTTGTAATTTCATCAGGTTTGGAGATTGGCTTACTGCAATTTAGCATTCATAGACAGAATTCACTAACTTCATATTCCCCATTAAGAACAAAAGTATGAAATCACCCTTATCAAAGTAAGGACTGTGATAAGAGCTTGACAGCCAAAGATTTTAGTACCAAGGATAGCCATTCCTACTCCAACTGGGAGACCAACACCTACAGAGAAAAAAGTTTGCAGCTACAAGTTGCTAGATCTGGTAGAGGTCAGTCTGCTCTCCAAGATCAAGGACATAACCTGCTTTGTAAGTTAACCCAACTTGTGCTGCAGATACAGAGACTTCTTTGAGTTTTATAAGGAGCAAAAAGAACCTAATAATCTTGCTTTCAAACTCTTCTAAACATCAGAGTTTTCCAATTGATTTGCATCTCTTATATGTTCTCTCAGCTCTACAATTGATACATTCCCTAACATGGGAGAAGCAGGAGCCTTGAGATCATTTTTGCAACAATTGTACTAAGTACAGGACATCTGTAAGGATATTAAATTGGCTCTGGACATTCCTTATGGGATGCAAGCAGGTCTTTTCTCATTACTTAAGAAGTGATACAAAAGACTGGTCTGCAGCCATAGCAAATAGAAGTCATCTTAACCAAGCAGCTCTGCATAAGGGCTGCACTGCCCCATTACACAACTTACCAGAAACAACAAAAACTGTTGAACTGGAAAAATTGTTGCTGGAAAAAAAATGGACTATCATTCCTATTGCAATGCTTATCTTGTAACTATTTTCACAGAAATTCTACAGTTAGAATGACAAACATTTTTCCTTTCTTACATAGAATTTTATTTATAACATAGTGTTTACAAATAAACAAAACCCCACTCTTGCTGCAGCGTAAGGCATTCCCACAGTCAAGTTTTGCAGCACCTCATGACTGCTAAAAGGGTAAGGAATTAAATCCCAATTGAGCTTTCCACACATACTCATAACGAGACAGACAAATACTAAACATCCAGTAAGTAATTCACACAGACAGGATAAAGGCATTTCCTGGTGAACTGAGGAAGTCAGATTAAGTTTCAGCTGGCCCCTTCTTCTGCTTATCTAACAGTACTTTATTGAAAATTTATCACCCACAACCTTACAAAATCAATATTACAGCTGAAAAAAGGGATCAAGTAATATGTTTGATTACCGGAATACACAAATCATTATTGGTTTATCTTGCCCATATTTATTATCCTCAAATATAATCATGAACACAATTCTTAAACATTTTTCTGTTCATACCTCACCAGTAACTTCCCTTCAGAGAATTCTGAGACTTGGTTTCTTTAACCGCAATCATCAAATTTATTGCAGTACTTAAACATCTCTCAAACTCTTGAATTTGTATATTCAAAATATATCATGGTAAAAACTCTGTATTTTAGATCATTATCCCTTCTAGTAATACATAAATTAGAATTCCTTTTTAAAAAGAAAAAAACAGAAAGTTGTAAAGATACATAAGAATTCCTAGATTCCAGAAAATCTTCAGAGCTACCCACTATTGATGGGTGTTTACCTGAAATATTCCCACATGAAAAGGGAGCATAAGACCATTTTCRTCATTCACATTATTAGGAAAAAAAAGAGTTCTACTGTATATATATATTTGTATTAATACTACACTAAAAGGTAGAGGTCCCAAAAAATCCCATCTATGCTTCTATAATCACATACCATACTTACTTCCTTCAAATTAATTATTTCTGTGTCTTGTCTTTTATTTACTGCCATCAATTTCTTATTGAGTTGTATTGCTTCCTGTACTATAAATAAAAATTAAAGAGTCAACACATATTGAATGTAGATTCACAACTGCAATGTGCATACAACATACAACACACTAACATCTACATGAAAATACAAAAAGAGAAATTAAATTGAAAATATCATTCCTGTTAAATCATTCCAAGAATACTAAAAGCCACCACACAAGCCACCACTTTTTTTTCTTAATACTGGACATTATTTTCAAAAGTTTGAATACAAAAAAATAACTCACAGTACCAAAATATCACAAATGTCTCTTTTACTGATTTATTGAGACTATAAAAGCTAGCTGGTTTCAGGCAGAAAAAAAAAAAAAAAAGACTTCTGAACCTTGGAAAAGATTTTTTTGAACAATCCCTTCTTCCTTTCTTGGAAATTAACATAACCTATAGGGACATTTCCTATGAGCTTACAAATCAATGAGCAGAAGTCCCTTTTTTATATATTTTTATAAAAGTGCATGTGTAAATAATGTTAAACAGATTTTGCTCTCAAATTTTYGGGTGGGTGATACTTTCTTTACATGATGCATTAGCTTTATTGCTTTACAGATTAAATCACACATTATATATCTATATATCACTATCTAAAGTGAAGATGAATGATTATGGAATCATTGCATATGTTAGTAGATTTTCAAATAATTTTAAGTTGTAACACACAAAAGAGGATAAAGTATAGAACTAAATAAGGTATTTGGACATTACAAATCTAAGTTAGGTAACATAGGTAACCGAATCAAGTTATTAATACAGCCTCCTTTACTGAGCTTGTTTTTAGATATTCTATTACTGTACAACAAATGAAATTTCATTAATGCTTTCTACCTTTTTTTAGTCAAAGTTAGCTTAGACACAAAATTCTTTAGATCTTCTATTATATTTTCCAKTATATTTCTTCTACCCCCTCATTTGAGCTATTGTAATTTTTTGTGTGGATGGATGATGAATGCACTCACTACTACTCAGATATAGAAACAGTCAGTTGACATATTTCTCAGGTAGCACTGACAGCTACTATTTTTGAATTGTCAAGTGACTTCAACTCAGCATTGAAGAGAAATAAAGCAAAAAATAAGTGTCAGAGGACACTGAAGACGTACATACCACTGTGCTCCAGTTTTCCATGAGCCCCTTTTACAACTCCAAACTGATGTGCAATAGTAGYGTAACACTTCTCAACTTCATTTAGTTTCTTATGATGCTCCCCTTTTGATGTTAAGTGCATCTGTAATTTTTGATCCTGTTTGGAACAGAAACAAAGCATCTGCTTATTGATACAAACTAGCAGGTATAACTGAACTCTCCAAATGCTTATCCGAATAGCATAAAAAACACAAAACCATTCCCAGAATATCTTTCATATTTGATGGTCAGTTCTAGATGGCATCTCATTTTGAAAGATTTTCACCTATTGGATAGATAATCAAAAAAGTACTTCCAATAGTCTCATATGCTGTCCCTTATGCATTTCTGTAAATGTATCCGTGATTACACTATGTTTTTTTCCAAGTCTTGACTTCAGCTTCTTACAACATGGCCTGTGTGGCACACATTTGGTCTGCCAGTGTATTGGGAACAGAGCCTAGCATACTAACAGTGCCTCAGTGCAGCACTGCACACTCGCTCCTTCGATGCAGGATATCCATGCAGCTTAACACCCCCTCCCATCCCCAACAGCTGTTCCGACTGGAGCCAGATACTGTTTTCAACTCAGTGCTGTTCAAAACAGAGATGATTAAGGGATTGGAGCACCTGTCATATRAGAGGAGGCAGAGGGAGCTGGGATTGCTTTGCCTGGAGAAGATCCAGAGGGATCCCAACAAAGTATATAAATATCTGATGATAGGGGAGTAAAGACTCCTCTCAGTGGWATCCAGTGACAGCAGGAGAGGGAAAGGGCACAAACTGTAACACAGGAAWTTGTGTTACATAAGTTTCCTTAATGTAAGTTTAAATATGCGTTTAACTTATAAGTTTTAAGCATAAGTGTTTGATTTTAATACTGGGAGACTGGCCAGACACCAGTACAGCCTATGGAAGGGTCTTCAACCTTGGAGATGCACAAAACCCAACCCGACACGGCCCTACACCTTGCTTTGAGCAAGGGAATTAGACTAGATTAGATGATCTCCACAGGTCCCCGCCAACCTCAACCATTTTGTGATTTTTAAATATTACACAGGGTAAGGGCATTTAGGAGAAAAATCAAAATACTTGAGACACCCAGAGAAAATAGTTTCAACGCGCTTGCTAAGAACAGAAGCACCTTTACTACTTCTAAAGAGCAACCTGCACTTTAAGTTAAATACAGATTAATACCACACACTTCACAGAATATGCAAGTAATATTTTAATGAACAACTATGACTTCCACTGCAGTATCAACAAGCAGTTATAATGATGTGAAATATGATTAATTCAGTTCTATTTTAAAATTATGTATTTGCAGTTTTGCAATTACTCTTGTAAAAGCCTAACACTACCTCTGTTAATTTCTTAGCTCAAATATTATCTTGTTGCAAGGAASAGTGTAATTTATTAAAATTCATATAATTCACTAAAATTGATGTAATTCACATTAATTTTACCAATAACTATTGTTTTGAGAGGAATTTTTAAAAAATCACATATTCACATGAAACTATATTCAATATACATCACTTTTTTGGTATCTTTTTATTCCTGTACACCAGGCCCCTTTCCTGTTCTTTATTCTTTTTTTTTGTTGTTGTTGTTGTTGTTCTTTTCATGATAGCTTTACCTGTGCTACTCATTTTTTTACATTAATTTCCTTTAAGAAGAATGGTTAATTTAACCCCTCACAAAAATGTTGATCTCTCAGACATGTAATCTATTTCTAATCTTCAGTAGAACCAAGCAATTAAAATGAATTGGGCCAAASTGATTTCTGTGTGCAAATTCAACAGTTACACGTGGCGCAACCTGSCTCAGCCTGGCTTCTGTAAAGCTCCCTTCTCATACAGGAACAAATGCAATGCATGTCCAAGCATCAGAGGATAATAAAAGCTCACAGTAATCAAAAGAAAYGGCCAACATAAGACTAGCAAAACAGGATATACAATACAAATTTTTCATGTTTTATAAGGTATGAAATTAAACACATTACAGCAAATGAAAAGTCATAATGGAAGCACTAGTAAAGAAGCAACACCACTTACAGGATCACTGCCAGCAACATAAGCAATGAATTTTCATATACTTGCTCTTTTTCCCTAATTGTAAGCAAAGTGTTGAAGAACTGTGTTTAACTAATGCTATGATGTGGCTTTTAAAGTCAAAAAAATGCAAAACTTATATCACTGTCATAGGTCATAATCATTCATACATGTAATCTAGCTATTGATGAACAAGCAAATGCCACTAATGAGACTTGAATCGTGACAAAACCTGTTCTTTTTTTTATTTTTATATGCATTTTTCTTCTAACTTATTTCTTAAGCACACCAGCATCCCCCTTTCTCACTAGAAAAGTGAAATATGCTTTGCTTTTGCTCCAGGACTCTCTCCAAGGAGAGGAGGAATGGCCCGATATGTCCTCAAAACTCCTGTCAGGGGTGGCCCAAGTTTACCTCTTGCCCAAGTATGATTTTTGACAGCAAGCCATACATCAGGCTTAGTGCAGAGTAAAACAAAACCAGTTTGGTTGGCCTTGTGACATACTTCTTCTGCTCACATGGAAGAAATCCTAAAGCATTCTTTCATGGAACACAATAAAGAAACACCAGGAGATAGATACCGCACTGCAGGATAGGGAGGGAATGACCCTGGAGCAAGACCCGCAGAGTCTTGCTTCTCCTTCCTTGTGTCTGATACCGCAAGGAAAGGAATTATTGCGCTGCCCTTCACCAGTAATAAAGATAAGCTGGGATGGGAAGTGGAACTGATTGTGGCCATATGGTTTGTTGAGGCACAAGGATTTCTTGGTGGAACTAGATCAGGGAAATAGTTCAGGGTCAGGTAGGTGACTGGAAGGAATTGCTCGTATCTGAAAAATATTCTGGAAATTGAGTCACCACTTGAAACAATGCAGTGAAGCAGAAGGTGGTAATTGGGAGAAGAAAGTGTCAGCGACACAAAGGGTTTGTTACGGCACCGAGACCTCAGGCAAGATCAGCAACAACTATACACAAAGCTGCCAATTGTAAACTTTCCAAATAGAAGAACTGTTCCCACTGTGTTTGGAACACATCTCACCATTTCCCCCCTCAAGATCACTAGCTTTAACCTATACTGTATCACTTCATTCACACTGAATTGCTGAAAAATATAAAATAATTACAAGTAAATTCCAAAAAAAAAAAAGTGAAAAGAGAATTAAAGTCTTGTTAAGAACGAACCAATTTTAGAATGACATAACATTTTCTACAGATTCATTTTTCATTTGTTAGATRCATCCATTTCACAGAACTAAACTGTGGCAGGGAATCCCCTAGGGAGTGCCCTTACTCTCCACTCAGCTTTATTGTAACATCCATGGCAAGTTCTGCCTAGGTTAGCCAGCACTCATAGATGGATCCTGGACACAAGTCAGGAGACTTGCTACCAAGAACCACCYGGAATATCTGAATGCAGTTTCCTTCTTTTGAAGAGGAGCAGATTTTAATGGACCCAGGCCATTTCATGTCACTTGCAACAAAACTCCCAAGGAATATTAATTTAGCAACATAAATACAATCAGCAAGTGAAACTATACTGATTATTACATGTTCACACAGGTATTCACCCCACCTATTTTATGCATACCAAGACAGATGCTGTGAATACTATCCTGTAGATGCCAGTGCCCTCCCCACTGACTACACAGACTTTGCGCTCCAAAAAATCACTCTTTTGGACCATCTGAGTTTCTGCCTCTGAAATAACCAACACCAGCCTCAGTCTTCTTCTGAGACTTATTCTTAAGCTTTAAAAGTACACCATGGTGCTAAAGTGTATGTACTGCAAGCACAAAAGGAACACAAAAGAGAAACACTTTCTTGCATTTTCAGACATGCCCAGGATTAGATGATGCAGGTTGACAGGGGAATGCCCGAACAGATGAAAWATTATATTTCTACTTTATATGAGTTTTTATTTATACATTCAGAGCATTCTCTACACAGTATCACCTCCCAAGGAAACAAGGACTTTGCCAAGACTCTTTTCCTCCAACTCCTCTACCTCAGTAGCAAGAAAGRGAGGCAACATGGAAGTCACTTCCCCTGCTGTTCTGCCCCACAGCCAGCTCAGTAACAGGCATCCTCCTACGGCYGCAGACTGTGCAAGGGTTGGCACACACACAGCCAGGTTGCCAGGACTTTCATAATGGAAACGAGAGGACAACAGAGGAACAAGCAATCCTTCACTGCTTTCATAGAATTTTTCAGTATAAATGAAAAATTCTATTTCATACCTCTTGAAAACTTATTTCAGCTATTATAACTGGTAAAAGAGGCAGATGTGGTATATGAGCATTGCAAATGTTAGATTCAAAGAACAGAAACGAAATGAACAAAGCCGCAGGGAAGCGCTACTGCGGCGGGGCATACCGAGCTCCCGAGCACACACAAGGCTGCTACAGCGACCAGCRGGGTTTCCAAGGCACCAAGGAAACAAAACTGTACGTTTGCCTGCTCTCAAGACACCAGCCAGAGCAAAGTCCAATCTCTCTTTGACAAGTTTAAAATTGGAATAGAAATGATTCTCAAATAAATGCACAAATTGCAATTTCCTCCATTTTACTTTTGCATATTTAACTAAAGGAGTATGCTGGCTACTACTACTTAAATGGAAAACTATTTTGATCTCTGAAACACACCTTTGATCTCAGYGCAGATACTCAAGTCTGTAGAATATGACCCAGCCTAAAACTGTATTAAGCTGCTGCTGTTGCACAAGGCTAAAGAATTAGCTTCTAAATTCTTCATTCTTTTGTTTTCATCATCTATCAGAGCATCCAGTACAAATATGGCCATGTCATAGGTGCTAAATTTAGTGGTACTACCTCTAAAAAAATTTTCTAATATGCTTTCCCCATTTAGTACCATTTTAAATAACTATATCATGCAACGTCACAGTAACCCAGAGTTTTCAAAATATTATAACACTAAATTATTTCAAAATTGATAAATATAAGGTAATCTACTTTAGTACACACATATTTCTAATTTATATCAAGTGTTTCAACTTTAAATATTTTTCAAATGGAAAAAAATACTTGCAAATTATTAATAGGGACTACACAAAATTCTAAGCTCTATGATTTAATTTAGACATGTTTTAGATTAGACATATTTTAACAACAAATGCAAGTTAAAAAGTGAAGTAAGACAAAACACATTTTATGTTGCCTTTGATCTTTAACTTGTAGCCTTATCTCCCAGGTCAGAGGGCACATTATTCAATTTCACCATATTTTGTGTAAAACCACTGTAGCGTTGAAGATGACTTTCAGTACAAATGCCATGGTACTTAAAGCTAAACTGGACTCTAGTTTTTTGAGCTTCTTAATTAAAATCACAGTTTATAATGGTCTGACAATATTATCTTTATTCTTTCCAGTTGAGCAGCAGCAGAATTTTCACAGCATTGATTCAATCAAGCTTAGCYGTGTTTCTGCAGCTCACTCTCACTTCCTAAAACAGACAACAGGGTTCAGAGTGGCTAAGCTGTCACTCTGTATAAATTTATTCTCAGTGTCAAAGGGAGGAAGAGGTACCGAATGAAATCTAAACTGTTTAGGGGAACTGATGTTAAGAACTAACTCTGCAGAGAGTAGGGGAAAGGATAAAAAGGAAATATTACAGCCTTTCTCAAAAATAAGCTTATAAAAAAGAAATTCCCATTAGCTCTCTCTGTTGCTTCTTAAGGATGAATACATTACAATCTATAATTGTAAAGGCAATATAATTCCATTATTCATAGAACATCCTATAAAAAAATCTTCACTAATCTATCAAATGAAAGAAGTACCAATTAAGAACTACATCAATTTTGGAGAAAAAAATATCTTTTTGATAAACAGCAGCTATCAGAGTATAAAAGACAAAAATACTGTATTTGACAGTTGGGATTTTCTGGGTTGTTTTAAGATTCAGAAGATATGCCACCTCATTGGATTATTTGAAATAACGACCACTCATCATTTAAGGTTGCATTTGGTTAGTATTTGCATTACACTCTAAGCTGACATTCTATTGTCATAAAAYCCATTATTTGTTATTAATTTCTTACCATTTCATTCAATTTCTTCTGTAAAGTGTATTTCGAAATCTGTAAAACAAAAAAGCTATTAAACTGTAAGTACATTTTTCTGAAGGCAGCATGCACATTCTGTTGGTATTCTCATACATTTTTTTTCCATTTATTCTAATCCAACACAGTAATACTATTTTCAAATTAATGTTTACACTAATTCTTTTATTATACTCCATATAAATTTAACTTTTAATGTTCATGCTCAGTGTTCAAATGTTCAGATTTATTCCCTGATGGCAAACCAACTTCTAGAGAGTTATTTGGAATGGGGGGTTTTAAAGACTTTTATAACCATTTTCCATGCTTTTGCATGACTGATATTTATAATATAAAACTCTGATGAAAGGATGTCTGCAAGTTGCCATCCCAACTGGTACTCTTGAAAAGTATAAACTGGGGATTTTCATTCATTTCAAATACTGTTAAATGGTTCTCCAGTGTCATGCAAGAAATGCAAGAAAACCCCATACAGAAAYAGCACCCACTGTCACCAGAGTAAACTATGGGTTTATCCCACAGAATTTTGTTTTGATAGACAAACAGGCATTTGCAAGCCACAGATTAAGTGAAAAATACAGAAACCTTCTTGGGAAACAATCAAGAAAAATAATATAAAACATGGGTAGCTTTTAAGGTCCATGTGAATATTTGCTTATTTAGGAGTCTACAACTAGAGTTTCCAGGCATGGCAAGGAATGTCTTTAAATCCAGAGAAAGAAACAAAGGAAAAGGAAGACCGTGGAAATGAAGAAAAACAATCCCATTTCACACTTGATCTAGACTTTCACAAACTCTACAGTTCTTTAAAGGGAAGAAACTTTAGCTAAAGGGATATATTAGAACTACTGAGTCCTGAAGATTAGAAGAGAAATCCAATGGTGTAGGCAAGGTACACATATACTAGAAAAGGTGAAATTAGAAGGTCTTAACTGCTCTCTTAAAAAAACAACTATTTTCTCACCAGTGAAAATTCAAACCATGACATCTGCCTTACACATAAAGCTCCACAATAAGAAYGGTTTACCTGTAATGCTTTTAATGCTTCCTTCAGTCCATCAATTTCTTTTTCTTTTGTTTCTATAGCAAGTTGATATTTTCCCTGTCAACAAAAGCAAAACATAATTATTTTCAACAGTTAAAATTGCACAGTAAATTTTAGACTTTCCATTTCCGGAGGAGAAAAACTGACAAAAGCTGGATTTATTTAAGTCTAGGACAAGGATATTAAATACTATACAAATTATATTGAGTAAATCCATTTTCTTATCTACTGTTACAGGACTTTCAAGGAATTATTTTCCTCTATTTTTAAGCTGGAAAGATATTCAAGTCATTTAAATTACTAAATATACACATAGATTTGTGCATATACATACACAACCGTGTTGGTGTGACAGTGTGTATATATATAATTATATAAAAATATATGAAAGTAAAAAACTCGAACGGAATTAGATCAGGTAAGAAATTCAGATAGCAAAACAAAAAGCAGAAACAATAGGAAATAATCTAGGAAAAAAAGTTTGGCTATTCATGCTGTTTTCTTCCCAAAATTATGAGCTGTGCAAACTTTTGAACAGCCACGATGAGCCACAAAAAATATATATAAATGTAAATTGGAGCAAAATCTGTCCTTTATTTTCAAACTCTTCCCTAAAACATAACATTTCCTCCCCTCACCTCCCTTTTTGTTACTTTATACAAAGTACTGAATGTACTATTGGATTCAGTGGAAGCCTCTAGAGGTTAAAAGGAGAAAGGGAAAAAATAACTCTGAATCAATATCTAATCAATATCAATCATTAAAAAATCCAAGCAAGGACTCATAGGGAGAGCAGTATAGACAGGCTGGATGTTTTGAGAACAAACTTCACATTTTCACAAATAAATCTTCACTAGATGTAATAAATGCAGCAAATCATTTTACATCAATACTTTAAATCAACACTAAGGAGCAGTTTCATTTAAGTGTTCAGTAAGTTACTCTGAATTTTTATGATGCACAAAGCATTCACTCTTACTTAAGAATCCATCAGAAATCTGAGAGAATCAAGAGAAGGCACACGGAGCCAGTCAGTGGCTTGCCTTGTGGTTCAAAACACCTCTGCTACAACCTCTGCACATCCTGTATTCAGGACAGCAATCRGCAGCTCAGCCTGATACAGAAACTCAGGTCGTTAAAAAAATAAAACTAAACCATACTTAAGAGATCCAGACTTTAGAACATGGTACTTCAGTTCAGTTAGGCTCCTCATGAAACCAGCTCAGTTAAACCGATACACAGGGCCTACTCAAAATTGCTGGTTTTGCTAAGCCTGTTATAATTTCTACTTTTGTTAACTAGTATGTGAAAAAAGCTGTGACAACATTCCAAAACCCTAAAGTGAAGTGCAACTTTGCAGAGCTTCAATAGAGAACTATCAAAAAAAAAAAACCCCATTTATTCTCCAATCATTTTAGCATTAGTAGATTTTAAAATGACTCACAAGTCTCAAACAGTATTATATAAGTCATAAACAATTACAGTTCACAGTAATTATAATACTATTTTATAAACAAATATCTTTGCCAAAGCAAGAAAAATAAGAAAAATACGAGTGCAATATATTTAGTTCATCTCCAGTAAGCTATACAGCATTATAACTTCTTTATGTGCTTCACTGGGTGACAAATAATAAGTGTTACAAACAGTACCTTTTCTTCTTCCATGGCAAACACCTTTRCCTGCAACTTAATTGTCATAAAAGAGTTAAAACAAATCAACACATCAGATTCGTTTTATTCGCACAGCTTGAGAAGACATTAATAGTTACATTGCCCTGCATAGTTTCTTTTTTGACTATAGATCTATACCAAGAGCAGTCTTCCAAATCAAGTTACTTCCTTTCCTCAAGATAGACAGGAAAACTTCATCACTTGCTAATTGTTTTGTGTGATGCTRCAAATGCTGATGCAGCATCAGCAATAAAATCCTTCATCACCACTTGCAAGAACCATCTCAGCTTCCATGACTGCTCTCTGCAAGCTCTTTCAACACTCATATATCATTTGTTGATTACATATTACAGATAAAAGCACAATTTATAGATTTTATAGACTGAAACACACTTTAAAGTATTAAATTTCTATATAATAGATCTTTTACCACAGGTTATGAGGCTAAATTTGCACAAAACATGTTATCTTAAGAAAAAAGAGGGGAAAAAAAAGAACAGAATAAAAGCATCAGTATCTTCCGCAAGAACTCTGTGCTTAGAAATTAGTAGCAAAAGAGATGATTCCAAGGGAGACAGTTACTTATTTGATCTATATATTATATCATTTTATGATTTGTTTTATGGTACAATATATGAAACACAAAAGTAATTTAACATCAACTGCTGCCATTGTAAAATGCCACGTCAAACCTGAATACCCTTATTTTGCTACCTGTTTTTTAAAGACTGCCACAGCTTCTTTGTTTTGTTGATGCAACGTATCTGTCTGATGCTGCAGAGTTTCCTGCTCATAGAAAACAACAGGAGCATCTTGTAAATCACATTTGTGGTACAAAATTTGCATATAGTGTTTAAACAAAAYGATTTGTTTCTAAAAAGATGTAATCAACTAAGTAACTAAGACTGAAGMCTAGAGAGACGTTTGTTAACTGGCAATCATCTTTCTAGTAGCAGTTTCCCTCTTAATTTATAATTTGRAATAATATTTATAATCTGGAATTCAGATTGGCTGTTGCTGGCATCTCCAAAACAGTCACCTGTTCTGCCAACCTGCAGAAGCGATACAATACCCTTCCCATCTAAAGACAGWAACCTGATACAGCTCCAGAATTAAATAGAACTTTAATTCTCATCTCAACTTCAAAAATACAACCTATTAATAATTTGTTATTCTGTTTTCAGTTGAATTCTAGTCATTTAAAATACTTCCTGAAAGAGCTGAAGGCAGGGAGAAAATATAAAGTGTAACATTTTTARTCATTCTGCTGCATAGCTACACTCTTATTTATAAATGATACTAGATATAGATTAGATGTTAAATGTTAGATGTACAATTTTGTCTTYGTTCCATATGATAATAGTCTCCGATAGTGCTCTCCATAAATTGGCAGTGTAAGATCTCCAAGTATCCCGATGGTACACTCAAGATTTACTTAAAGTCATGTCATATGAAATATATCTTCATCAAATCAGCTTTTGAAGTTCTGGACACTAGTGAATATTACACAAAGAGTCTGCCATTGAGCTGTCTCAAAATATAGATGTGTCTTCAGCTACATAGCAATATTGTGATGTTATAGTAAATATACTTACTACATTTATATAAGTATTCTCTCCACTCATTCTGTTTCCCCAATCTAGCATTTTTGCACATCAGCAACGAAATTAATAAGATGAAGACAAATGTGCATCTAAAGTCATGCGGATGGTATTAAATCAGAGACTTGGCTTAAATCATGACCCTATCTGAAATTAGTTCACCAGATTTTCAGTGAAATAGTGCATACAAAATCAGAGAAATCTTGGTTGAAAGGAATCTATGAAGGAGAACACATCAGATATTTTTTAAACTCAAGATGAGAACTTACTGATCCCACTGAGGCCAGTGGGATTGCACATTCAAAAAGCATTAGATCACAAGTTCAGTTTAAATGTCACACTTAGCATTTTTATCTTGCTTGGCTCACCAAAACTGGAAACTCTTATTAGCTTGTTCCTTTCAAGTTGCACAGCKCTATGTATGTGCTTACATGAAGTTACTAAAATCTGAAACTCATTATTTTAGGTTTACATGTGCTAAGGTTAAATGCAAAGTATAGAAAAAAATAGTTCATCCAACTCGAAGCCACATTTTTATTAATAGGAAATTAAATTGTTGTTAAGGTCTCAGATAGAAATCATTTCCTTTGAATCTTCATTATTGAGAAAGACCACAATGCTAGATTAAGAAAAGCAAAAAAGGGTTAAGTTAAAAGCACTGTTGCTTCTACAAATATAAGATGTTTCCTGTTTTTGTGTGCACATATATATCTTTCAGAAAATAAAAGCATAGAGTTAGGATTATTAATTTAAGATGGTTAGGATGAACTCCAAGAAGAAATAGTCTTTCTTTACTAYCGAGATGTTAAAAATTTCAAGATCAAGGAGAAGTTATTGTTTTTTCTGTGATCGTAAAACATAGTGTGAAGCCTTTTATCCTGTGACCTAGTGACAGGGTTAGAGGTTTGACAGTTTTTGCAAAAGGAATGGATTTTCTATGACAGCATAACCTAAGAAGTCCTAGCCCAAAAAGTTAAYATTAGATTCATTTTACTAAAAGCTTAATTCTGATCAATTAAAGTGAACAACTTTAGGGTGTGAATTACCTGCAACTTGCTGTCTAAAATTGATTCAGAATGTCCCCTCCACCCTAAACATGACAAGGTTGTTGTTCGTGCARCTGTGCTGGTGTTAGCCCCAGCCAAAGCCAAGTGTGAACTAGCTGCTGTTTAGTGTCCTCCACATTTTTGATTCAGAATGCCTCATTTCAAACTAAATGCCCTATTTGCCTGATTGCTTCAGGTTCTACATGTGTTCTGACTAAAGATTTCCAGTCATGTTAAATTGAGATATTTTTCTCTTGTTAGATAGATTTTTAGCATACTGCAATATCCAAAACCCATATACAAGTTACAAAAAGTAATGACTAGGCAATAAACTAACTTCTATCACATCACTAATAAATTTAAGGATTATACCAACTTATAATCTATATTGTTATACATCACAATCCATATCATAATGAATACTAAAGCCACATAAAAAAGTTACCAACCTTCTGCCATTCGAGTTCCTGTTTCTCAACAACAATTTTACTTATCTGATCTTCATAATGAATCTCTGTTTCCTAGTTAAAAAAGTGACACATTTACATGAGACCAGTACCTGCAAATTGGATATCAGCACAATTTATGTATTCATACTTTTATTCCTTTACAATTCAGTACCCAGAAGAGTAAAAGGAAGCAAAGGCTCCAGATGTGAACAACTGCTTTCCAACCAAAAAATATGCAGAATAAACTTGATTAACTTCCTTGATTAACAGGAAATTTAGAGGCACGTGTGGACAGAAATAACACACTTTTGTCCACAGGAGGGTATTTCAAAAGTTGCTTCCTGGGCCTAAAAGTATGCCTCAAAATCTGTGTGAGCTTCAAATATAAAATATTGAGCATACATGGAAAATTAAAATCCAACCAGAGAATTATCAAAAATTTAGCTTTTGTTTTTCTAATATGAACCTACATGATACAACTGTAGAAGAGACTAAATATTTTGAAGCATACATTTTGAAACGCAAATCAAACACATCACCGTTGCTSTATTTCTTTAGAATATATAATCAAAATTGCCTATGCTTTTCTTTATAAACTCAATTACTTTGGCGTATTTGTTAAGCCAAAACCCACAGGCTAAGAGTATTTATACAAACTTCAACAGCAGGCTAGCATCAGAAAGGAAATAGAAGCTTCTGAGCATAAAACAACAAATATGAAAAGAGCTTAGCATATGCAGCCCAATTCTGACCTCATAGAAATGGAATAGAAAAGTTTGATTTCTGTTAAGACAAGCAARTATCATGAAATAGAGTGGAAATAATGTAATTCTTCAAAGTAGAGCAATGTAGAGAACACTAACATTACAAAACCTTGACATACTTCTATTCAAATGGGTGAGACTTACCTAAATACAACAGATACCCCACGCAACCACGTCTTTAGTGTACAAGGGGTTTAACAAAACCAAAATATTTTATTAAAAATGAAACTGGCAGACAACTTGTAATAAACATGCACAGTATTCATTTTAGAATGTTTGAGGAAATTTTAAAATTGCATGACATCACTGAAAAACAACATACACRTCCAAATTTGTTAGTATTTGCTTTTAAATTTAGATGTCATTTTAAGAAATAGCATATAAAATTAAGACAATTAAGACAATTAAGATAATTAGCAATTATCATATCTATGTCAATGGCTTTACATTTAACTGAATAAACACAATAACACAAATTTGAAAACTGCATTAGATTTTTAATGACTACTTAAGTACTAAAGAGCATCAGAATTGAGTGAATGAACAACACTCCTTCAACTTTACTCCCAAATCTGCTTGAATCCGAATCCTAACGGAAAATCTGGAAACTGCGARAAAAGGTCTATTCACGTAACTACTGAGAAAAAAGTAAACACAATAAATGCCAGCAAGTGAGAATGACAATTAAATGATTAAAAATGTTCTCTTGTGAAATGGCTAACAATTATCAGCCTTATCTATCTTTTTTACTTCTTTCAAGGGACATTTATAATTTGCCCATTTTGAACTGAAGGCTTTAAAAAGTTCTAGGAAGCATATCTTTAAAGTTCCTACAGCTGTTTAATACAACAAAAGCATTATTATACTTAGCAGCAAAATATTATACACAACTTTGAGGCGATATCAAAGAACAAAAAACCTTAAGAGCATCTATTTTTTATTAGATGCCTTAGGACTACACGAATTTAAGTGTTTTTTTTTTTTATAAAAAGACTACCATAACAATAAAAGAGGAGTAATTTGATGGTTTATTTACTCGTTATAACCTTTAGAAAGTGTCAAGCCTTCTTTAAAGTGTTTGCTTCAGGCTGTAGTTTTACAAGATGGGCTGTGGATTGGTCAAGCCCCCTCGATTCCTGACCCTGAACAGATTTAGGAACAGAGTACAGCTGGCTCACGTCCAGGCAGCCAAAACTGCTGCTAGGTACTTTTATTATCTTTTTCAAACTCATAATTTACCTCCTACGAAATTGCACATTCAGTTTCTCATGCAGCTCAATCAAATAGTACTCACAAAATACAGTTTCCAATCATCTCCTAATACAATTAGAACAAACCTCATAAAGTTAAGCAATCAAGTATCACTTTTAGCAGACTGTATGGATCTTCTTAAGCTTTGTTCCCAGGACAAGCATTGAGAAAATAAAAAAACTCTGTTATATAACAGCTTTATTCTAACTTTAGCTCCTGACAGCTCTTAAAACCCCCAAAGCATCCTAAGACAGTTAATCAAAACTTTGAATAACCATGTCTTTGGAATTCATACTCAAAAGCATTCCTTATTCAGAAGCACATTGTCAGCTCCTTCACACAAGCAGAGACACTACCTCTTTACCTTTGCAAACTGTCTCAGATTTATATTTAAATAAAAACAATCTATTTTGACATATTCCTTTAACCCCCTACATTTGACACAACTCTCTTCTTACCAAGTAACATGCTCCTAACCAAATTTCACATTATTTACTAGATTATATGCTAGAGCATAAGTTATAAGCCAACATACCACTTACTGTCTTAAACAGTGTTGTATAGCTCTACATTACCAGATTGAGAAACTTTGATTTTGATTATTCTTTTATCTTAGAATACTTTTTATTATTATTATTTTCAGCTTTTTTTCTTGCTAAAAAGTAACTTAATTTACACATGGTCAAAAAAAATCCAGTTATAAGACTACTGGTACTGCTCCTGCACAACATCCTGCCAGTAAGGTGTAGTTTTTTGCTGTATCATAACACTTATGTTATTTTCATTCTAGGAAAGGCTTTATGAGCATAACTGACAAGTACATTGATATTTTAATATGAGTTCAAGTGCAATCCTACTTTGCTTCTCCTGGAAAATAAGTTATTGCTCTTCACTTAATACCTCAAACACCATTTTTTTATTTTGGGCATGAATGAAGAAGAAAAGCAAATCAGGAGGAGCTTATACATCCTCCCTCTAAGGAAATCTGGAAAAAAGCCAATGTGCTGCTATAGAAATCAGATTAGGATAGCCAAAGTTGTAAAGAACGATAAAGAACTGCAATAAACTCATGCAAATCTAGTTGAAAAGAGCACAGAGCTCAGCAGAACAAGGGTGAGCTAGAGCTTCTCCAGACAGTTGACAGAGAAAGCTCAAGATGAGGTACTGAGAGAGCAAAAATACGTGTCACGACAACAGGCTACAGATTCCAGGATGTGCCTCCTTTGAAAAAAGTGAAGGAAAAAAATGAAATTCTTGCCCTTTTTTTTCTCCATGACTGATCGTTTTGTCATGTAGCATAAAAGTAAGTACAAAATAGGTGTCTAAGTTACACAAGAACAGATGTAGGAATAGAAGACACACAAGCAAATAGGTAAAATAGGAAAATGAAAAGCACTAGGGACAGGGAAGGAGACTAGAGTCAAAGGAACAAAGTGAAACACATTGGAGCAAAACGATGGGAGCGTCTAGCACATTCCTTTCCACTCCATGAAACCGGCTCCGGAAGCTGGGAGATCCCCACATTCCTGTGCTGTGAGCACAGTATGAATTTCCCTGACAAATCAAACACGGCACCTCCCTGTTTAGTGACTGGTCCTCATACAACCTGCTACTTTTACATCCTCCTTTGGCACAAGGAATACCATTCTGTTATACAGTATATAATGGCATATAGAAGTATGAGAGCTGCCAATAACTGCAAGTCAGTACAGTTCCAGCTTACTGAATTCTGTTTTTCCACACAGAGGTAGAATATTTCATCTCAGTTAATGCACAGGTCAAAAATAAAATTGAGAGCAGAATTCACCATCCTTCACTATGCTGCCTCCATTGGGCTATCAATCTGCTATGAACTTCATGAGCAACTAGGAAAGGAAAGAGGAARATGAGAGAAAACTGCAGACCTTCTGCTCTGCTTTTCACTCTCATTTGTTGGATAAGATGGTTTAAGCTGGAGTATGTCATCTAAGCACTACCTTTCACTTAGAGCAGACTATAAACTTACTATAGTCTGAGCAGACTATAAATTTTAAAACTAAAAACAACTTTAGCCAAAAAATGGCTCATCCTTCTGAGAAAATCTGTACCAAACTAGTCACTGACTCTCGCAGCACCGTAGAGACAAAAGAGAAAAAACCCAAAGATTAAGCTTAAAGTCCTCTCCATTAATTTAAACATCTTGGGCATTGACCAAATAGATTAACATTATAAAATGAAGTTAAAGTTAAGAATTTCAGGCTAGTGGAATCATTCAGATTTTACTTTTCAATTCCAAAGGAGTTTGACCAGACTAAACACTACCACTGCGGTGAAATACATTCAAGAGACCTTGGTAGCTTTTATCACGAGGATTATAACCTCTGACTTCTGTCCAAATTCACGACATGTATTTTATTACTTCAAAGATAAAACCAGCATCTTTGGAACAGGTCCAAATCAAATACCTATATCCTTCTGCTTTTCAAAGCAGCAATGTTTCAGAAAATCTACATGAAAAATAAGATAGCATTTGTACATATATAYAACTAAAAATGACTTGGACCATCTTTTTTCCCATATGCAAGTTCATTCTTGCAGATACAAAATGGTTATAATAGTGTATAAAAATTTAAATATAGTTTTTAGGCAATATTCGGTAACCAAATAYGATAATTTTTTGATAAGTTTAAGATAGCCAAATTCATGGCTCCCACTCAACCATGTTCTTTCTGCTGCCCAGAGAATTTCTAACACAAACACTAAGGCAATATTTTTTAAAAATCACGCAGTTTGGAAGATTAAAGTATTATATGAAACTTACTAMGTTAATAAACACTTGAAAAGGATTTTCTATGATCCTATAAAGGAGAGAGAAATTAGACAAAAAATACTGAAAATAAACATATTTACCCTTCTTATACGTAGTTCTTCTATTGCCTCCAACAAATTTGTTTTAAAATTTAACAGTTGAATAGAAAGCAATGTCTCTGATGGACTTTGAAGAGTAGAGTCAAGTGTTTTTGTCTTAAAGTCTTCATCCATTCTTAGATTTTCTGAAAAATAAAAATGCCTGTTTCTTGCTCAGTGYATCTTTAAAGAGGATATTCAATCTGCAAAACTTGCAAGTGTCAATGCAATTTCCTTTCACAAAGAGAAATACTACTATGTATGGCCAGTATGTAATTACCACCATTTTTATTTTAAATGAATGTGTGCCATTGTATGGAAAACAGCTTTATCATTAATTCACCAGGTCCTCTTCTTTTTCCTCTATTTTTTGATCTGTTTTTAGTTTTAGACAGTTTACAACAAGCATAGGAAAATGAAGTGGTACAGGCTTTTCCAGAGTAAATGCCCTGCACTGACATGCAGGTACTGCAATGAGCATATCAGGCTATAACAAAATAGCACAACATTGCCATCCCCAAGATTAAGCCATAGGGTCATTAAGGCCATTAAGACASAGTTTAAAACCAAACAAAAAAACCCACTCCAGACTGGCCTGATCATAAACTACAGCTAAAATTTGGGGTTAATATTTACACTTAGTATTCTGAACTTCAAGGAGAAAAATGGTTTGCATTTTCCTYCTATTCCCATGAAATCAAATACCAGTATTTTGTGCTTTACATTATTTACATGTTTACATCTAACAAGGATTTATGCTAATATGCAATGCATACATCCATCCATCTGCAGSAGTAAGGCATGTTTGTTAGGGAGATCAGAGAAGAACATCTCATTACTTCTGTCAGTTTTGTCAGCATTTGGACTTATTCATGAACAGGCAACATCTCTACTTTCAATATCATTTTTTAATTGATTTAATTTTTTAATCGATTTTCTAGCAGTATGCTAAAACAAGTCAGTCGCATACACTTCAGCACAATACTACCCCTTCCCACGAACATAACTGAGTGTGTTTTCTGTACTAACAACTTGGAAAGATAGGGACAGAGCACAGGAGTTGTGATTGACCCGGCTGCTGCCACCAGAGAACTCTTTGGAAGGGGTCACTGCAGGAGGAGACCTGGTCTGCATCACAGAGCCCTAACAACTACAAATCAGGGCTTACAAGTCAGGACTTAACAYATTTCCCTCCCTGTGCCGTCACCCTCCTCCTTTCCTTTTTATTTATTTTTTATTTTTTATTTTTTTATTTTTTATTTTATTTTTTTTTTTTGGTTGCTGCTATTGTCTAAATCAGATCAATGTAGATAAAATTTAAGCTGCTTGGTGATGGATAACAGATTGATTCCTTTCTCTCACCTTACTGCTAAGAGAAATTTGGATTAAGTTATTGAAATTATGGTTTTGCTGATAAACAAACAACCCCATACACAAAGTTACATCTTAAAAAATACAGTCAATACCTTCAGAACTGTTTGAAAAGACAAAAATAAGCTTTTAAGGTTCTTTTCTAGTGTCAAAACATGCATTTGTGAAGGATTTTTGAAGGAGATGGGTAAGTCTGAATAAAAAACTATGCGCAGATATAAGCCAGTTCAGACAACAAAACTGTTGCCTCAACCTGCCAACAAGTATTGTGCATTCAATCAATATGCATGCATTTTAGATGCAACTTTAGCTTAGCATTTTTAAGTTCAAGTACCAGGATATAAGGCAAAGAAACCTTTTTCTAAAAAAAAAAAAAAAAANAAGGAATTTAAATTTGATGGAAATGACAAAGTATATGAATTGAAGGTGGTTCTTTCACTCAAGTTCTCAAAATCATTTCCCTACTGATAAGTGTTCTACCCATAATTCATAAACAGTATCACAAACAAAACCTTTCATACCATTTCAGATATTAGGAGGTTTTCATAGTTACAGAACTACTAAAAACGCTAATACCATGCTTAACAGATTAGGTAAGGAAGAACTTGATATCACTACTCATCCAGCTATACTTCATCCAAAGGATAAGCTACAGTGAGTGTAATGAATGTAATGCTAGGACAGGCTCTCACTGTACTGGCTGCCAGGCCACATCACAGCTCTGGAGTTCAAGGATTTTAGAGCAATGAGTTTCTGTGAAGCAGAAAGAGGTTCTGGGGAACACACGTAGCCAGAGCAAACAGGTAAGATGCTTGCGAAAAAATCCAAAGCAGAAAAACAGCTCCCTTACTCTGGGCCTTGTCCCAATAAGGTAGATGTCCCCAAAGAACCCGAAGAAGAAAATGGGTCTCAGGCATCCGTGGGCTTTCTTCCCCTCAGCTCACTGGTCTTAGCAGGATATCTCCACCCTAATGTGATGAGTCGGGAAAAAGGCTTTCTGGAGCAAAGCTCTCAGGCTTCACCCATCCCTCTATCACAAACCACTGTTTTCTCCTGGGTAATTTGCACTCATTCAAGTACAGGGAGGTCACAGCTTCCCCTGAGACTGCAACAACACATTGCAGAGCCAGCTGCTGCAATCTGCACAGCACGGAACATGGGACGTCCTCTCCCTCTCCTCCTGCAAGCTGTGCACAAGGCATCCCTGCGGGCTCTTCCACCACAACTAAGTCCAAGAACTCCACTGCCTGCTAAATAATTTACACCTCACACTTGACAGGAAAAAAGCTCCAAATTAAATACTTCAAAAAGATCATGCCCTAAGAAAATGTCTATTCTTAATAGCGCAAGCTGTCTAGAGACCTTGTAAAAATGTAGAATAACTTATAATGTCCTTCTGATACAGTAAACAATATACAACTCTTATGTAATCAAAAATATTTGTAATTAAAGAGGTGCATTTTTACTTTAAGAACCAGTATGTCAGAACACCTTTAAAATACAAAAAAAAATCAGAAACAGCTCTGAGAACCTTCTAAAATTTAAAAAGTTCTTATTTTGAAGCATTTACTACAGTTGTTTTTCTATTACTTGCTTTACGTTTAACAAAATAATGACAAAGATTACTTTTTAAAAAGCACATTATGAAATCCATTTAAACACAATTTTAAGTGCTATAAAGGATTTTATATCTTTGGAAAGCACTTATTAAAAATTACACCTTAAATACCCGACACTAGAAAGTAAGTTAGCCTATAAGCCTGATAGGGGTCAGGGTAATAACACAGAATGAACAAATTACACTGTCATTCCACTTAAATTATTTAAGTTATTTAATTTGACCTGTAGATAGTCTCTTGTCTTCTCATCATGCCTGACTTTTAAGTGGGAGGTCTTCATTCATGATGATCCTTTAATGGAAGCAAAGCTTTCTCCATTTAACCCATGGGGTTATCAATCATGTACAGGGATAAATGAGGCTGTAAGATTTTGCCAGTATCACAAATGACACCGTGACCCGAGGCCAACATCTTTATTTGCTTCTCCAGTGATTCACTTCAGCAGATATTAACCAATTTTATAATCCATGAAAGGCAAAATTAAAGGACACCATCCATAAAACAGAATAATTCCTATCAGCAACAAAGTGATGTCTGTATTATCTTATAAATTATATGGCCATACAGTGTGGTAATGTAATGAAGTAAAGATGGTAATAATCAAATGCCTAGGGCAAATGCTAATATGCATTTAATCACACAGCATGAAACCATTTGTCACTACAGCTGAATGCATGTGTACATAAAAYACATGAGTCACGTCCTTATTGTTATACTATAACAGCATCAATTTCACACTATCATTTTACCACAATAACAACTGTAGGTTTTGATATTAACTAAAACATCCAAACACTAAGAGTGTAACTGAGAACTATACCTTAAAAAAWTTTTTTTGAAGACATTATTCCTATTAATAAGCACATCTTATATGATTATTGAACATGTGCAGAAATCTAAGATGTTTTTACTGAAAAAGCCCTTCAGGTACGTTAGCAACACTCTCAGTGGCTTGTTAAGAATGGATTCAACATACACTGAAAAGCCATAAATTATGCTATTTTTAAGTGTGTATCACCAGTGATGAATAACAACACATTTCCATTTGCTTGCTTACAGTTATTTATAGATCTCCTCCTCCCTAAAAAAAAAGAAAAAAATAAAACAATAAAGCATTCACCTCAGGAACCTCAGACTTTTACATATAGAGTGTTTATAAATGCTGCATCCAGAAAAGGCTGAAGTAAAACTATTGCATTCCATGCTTGGAAAATAGAGAAACCAAAATTAGTGAAAAAAATTACCCACTTCACTCTAAAATCTCCTGATTCAAGGACTGACCATAAAAATATTATCCCAATCACATGRCCTGACATTAATTTTGAGAACTAGCCCTGTCACCTCTGAACTTCAGATACAGTGCACTATGGTTGACATTTTAAGAAATGCGCCTATTTGTGAAAAGTAGTACAAAAGTTGATGCCACTGAAATAAATTCACCTAGGTATATGTGTATTTACAGCTATGTCTAGTCAAGAATTAGAATTAAAATAGGAATATGTTGAGTTAATGTATTTGCAAGATGTTGTTAATGAATTGGAACCATCACTACTTAAATTACAGTCTAAAAACGCTGCAGATTTTATAATGTTCAGCTTAAAACACCAGAGAATATATTGTCTGCTTTTAAATTTAACTTCCTTTAAAAAATGCTATGCAAAGAAGGGCATAGTAAGACTGCAACTTTTTAAACAAAGTGTTATCAGTGATAAAGTACAAAATTACTTTTATGATGATTTAAGGCCAAAATAGGTTTAGAAGCACTGAGCCATTAAAAACAAGACAAATTTCAGAATATGTTGTCTTTCTTTTCATAGACTCTAAGTTAAAAGCTGAAGTAATGCATTTGATATTGGTCAAATAGCTAATTTTAGTGGGCTGCAGTAAAAATGGATGCCATTTTAATCCATTCTCATATTAAAGAATACATTTGGATAAATATTTGACTTCTATTATAAAATGAGCAGAAATTTGAAAAGAAGTCTCTTACTGGACCCAGTGGTCATAAGAAGCCACAAAAGAGCCCAGAATCCCTGACTTGGTAGGAAGAGAAAAAGTGCAAATTATTTCCCAGGTTCCAACTGTCATATCTTTGTTTCAGACCTTGGCTGCAAAGGAGAGTGCTCGATGTAATTAAACCAGGTGAGATT